CCCCAAATATAATCCACTCAGCAACCCTCATTTCATACTAGCACTTTTCTGGGGAACAGGAAAGCTTCAGCTCTTCACACATTATCATTCAGAATTTTTCTTTCCTTGCTACAAGATTATTTCATTTATGACACAAGATTGTTTCTGTCTTTTTCAGATGAGAGGAAAGGTTTTCCCGGTGCTTAAAATTGAATTGATTAGTAGGTATTAGGATATTTTACATAGTAGTTCTACTGAGAATAAACCAGCCGTGTATTCACCAAATCAAATAGATAAATTTGTGGAATTAATTTATTCTTGGAAATTGACTTGAGTATCCTGTATGAAATAGAATAAATACTCATAAAATACGCAGTAGCTAGTATTACCTGTAACCCTAGTGGGCCGTATGGAAAGGAATGGATTGCATCCCAGCTATATTTGGAAAAACTAAGTAGACAAATCAGTGCATTCCTAATCCTCCGATATACAATGTCAGGACAACCTCTTTCAGTGTTTTAGTACTAAGCTTTCATAAATAGTGTCAGGCATAAGGACGAACAGTTCCACACACAAATTTGAAATTTGACCTTGTTGAAAGCTTTGTGCCATTAACTTCTTTCTCCTACGCAGAGTGCTGTGTGCAGTTACACAACCATGTAGCAAAAAGTGAGCAGAATGCGCCCTCTGCTGTTCTCTTCCCTATGGCCTGTATTTGTTGTGTTGGGATTCAGAATTGCATGAATGTCTGCATCTTTAATACTGCACCTGGAGCCCTTGCTTGTTAGGAATCTCCAGTCCGTGTGGAGGGGGGATATCTCTGCGTGCCCTTCTGGATTCTGTGAGAGTGTTGATGTGACGACAGTAACTAAGAAGAACAGAGTCATACTGAAACAAATAACATGCAAAGCCACAGGTGCAGGTAGTGAGGTTAGGGACACAGCTGCCTGGAGGATTCTAACAACTGAAATACAGATTTATGTTCCATAAGCCAGTAGGCTATGCACTGGAAGAACTTTTCAGACAATTCTGATGTTCCACATTGTCTCTCTTTTTCAGGTGAGAGTGGAGGTACACAGGGTGCTGTCAGCCACCTAGGTTCCCAGGAGGGGGGCATGATAACTATGCACAGTCCAAAGAGATCGGGGAAGATTCCTCCAAAACTCCACAATCACATGGTCCATCGGGTCTGGAAGGAATGCATCCTCAACAGAAGCCAGTCCAAGTATGTGTGTTGGTTCCATCACCACCCTGTTGGTCATGACTAATTCCAAATAGCTGTACAGGGATCATGGGAGTAGCATTTCATCCTTTTAGAATGTAACAGGACAAAATTCAAATTAAAAAATGTTAAAAAAGAAACATATACTTTACCTTAGTCAGGTTATCCAGGAAATTACTAAAGTACTTGATCATCTAAAGGCTGCTGTGGTGTTCATCTGCTATTTTCCAGCATAGATAGCTCAGAGATTCACCCTGAGTGTCAAGGTCATAATCTGGGGATTAGGTTTTTTCCTTTGTGTACCAATTTCAGAATGTTTCCCATCTATAGTGGAGATTTCCCTTCTTACCTGCAGTTTCGTTTATGCTCTGCCCTTACATTTGGATGGTCAGTGCATTCTGAACAGAGCTGCGGACTCTATAATATAATAAGATAAAGTATAATCACTGGTGAACTTCTGTGTTAAGTTGGAGACACTCTGGTCTTTCACTAATCAGTCTGTACTTCCTCCCTCCCTCTCTCTCTCTTCCTTTCTTATTTCTTTCTTCCCTTTGTTTAGTAAGAAGTGAGAAGTGCTTAGACAGGCTACTTTTGATTATTTTATTGTCTGAATGAAAATTATATATATTAGTCTGTGAAAGTTACTGCATGCATTCAGATTTTATGTGAACATTATCAGCATGTTTAGTTATGTATCTGTAACATGAATGAAGTGTCCACTAATTGAAGTAAACCGGTGAGTTTTGATTTTCTAGAACAGAATGTCTGTGACTATGAATAACTGCTCATTAGCCATCTAATAGTTGGTTAAATGTTCATAAGTGACTGCTAGTCACATTTTTATAAAAAAGTTAAAACCTGTCCTTAGGACTCAGCTAAACTTTTTAGCGAATCCCTGGTATATATCCCCCAATGGATTGGTTTTAGAGTAGGCGGCTAAAAAAGTAGGAGATAAAATCTAAAATCGTTGCCATTGGAAGTCACGTCACATTCTAGAGTTAGAAAGCCAGACCTAGTCACTTAAAACCGTGATCCTTTCTGTTAGAATACTTGATTTAGACGTTGTCACGCCTATCTACAGCATCTAGAGGTGTTCTAAGTTGCCTTTTTCTTTTTGCTGCCTTGGAGTTTTGTCACTAACAGCCTCTCACCTCCTGCCACCCTACACTGTGTTCATAGACTTCACCCCTCTACCAGCGGCACGAGCAGACAAGGAAACCCCAGAGGCAGAGGAGGGTGGCGAGCACCGCAGTCCTGCAGGGAGGGCTCTCTCAGCACTGCTTGGGACCGTCACGGTGCAGCTCACTCACTGCCTGCCTCCTCCTTCTCACTATGTACTAGCAACAGTCCACCTTTCACTGCCATTCCCAGTGACGTGTAGGAAACACTGTTATTCTTTGTCTTTTCATTGCTAATTGGTGGAATACTGCCTTTAAATGCTAGTAAACATTATAGGGAGATTAGGAGTGATTTAAATAATCCATCAGAGGGTTACAATTTACAAATGCTCCTGAAAGTTCCGTTCTTTTAAAATTTCTAGGTTACTTCTATGTGAATTTGGCAGCCTCTTTTTAAAAATTTTTATTTAAAGCAACAATAATGAAGAGTGCCAGGTATTGTTTTAATTGCTATGTATTCACCACCTGCATTAAAATGCTGAATTTAACGAAAAGAACCCTACTTCTTCTAGTACCAGACAAGTGGGAGCTTCCTGCTTCGGCTGCTCAGCCTGTACATATGCCTTCCGGGGGGGATGCCATTGCTGTGGATATGGATGCGAGCTCTGTGGCGTCTCCTTTCAGGATGGATAAGCATTGTCTCCTGTTCACACTTCAGTCTCATTTTTGATACTTTCAGGAGGAGCCAAATGTCAACTCCAACTCTCGAAGAGGAACCGGCAAACAACCCTGCCGCCTGGGATTTTGTGGATCCGACCCAAAGAGTTAGCTGCTCTTGTTCCAGGTACATGATCCAGAAGGCAAAGCTGTGGTGGATGGAGTGAGTGCGCCTGCTGGCAGCCCTTCTCCAGCCTTCAGACTGTGCCCTTCCTGCCTCTCGTTTCGTGTGTGTCGCTGATCATCATTTTCCTGCAGTAGCTGGGGAAAGCCTGATCCTTTCTTACAGACATGATTCTGTCCTATTGTCATCACTCAGAAAACCCTTATTAGACACCAGGCCTTGTTAGCAAATTGTCCCCACAGGTATCTTTAAGTTGGCTACCTCAGAGCTAAAGGCGTCAGTTTGACAAGAACATCCCTGTTGTATGACTTTATTTAACTACTTTGAATTTTAAAGCAAAGATAACATTTGGAACACAACTTGACAGAAGTAGAATTCAGAGTCAATCAACCTTCTGTAGACACTTTGTTTTTGGTCATGGTGGTGGTAGTGGTGATGGTTTTGATGACTTGAGGCAGTTATCTGCTAAAAGCTCAGATTGTTGTATTGTTGTAGTTGTGGTCTCTTAACTCCACATTCACTTAACCTGCAGATTTCTGTCTATTGGGAGGTTTTGCCTCTTCATGGTTATCTTTTTTACTTTCCTGCTCCATGTAATAAAGAATCCCACTCTGTCATGAGTCCTTATTAAGATTCTTAGATTTCTTAAGTGGATCATCCACTCCTCCCCCCAACTCAGTTGATTGTAAGAACACATGGCATTGATTCTTCATTTAATAGACAACTTAGAAGCTCTGTTTCTAATATTGTCAAATTTAATCCTGCTCAATTTAAGTTCAGTTGCCAGGAGTCCATTTAGAAGATAGCCATCTATTCTTCTTCCTTAAATGAGAATGTGACAGAAAAGGAATTGACTCCAGGGTGGGAGGTTGTTCACATACTCCCCTTGAATATGTGCAAACTTCTGAGTGTATTTTCACAGCAACGCCTAATCAGGAGAATTGACACCGTCCTTCTGTCCTCCTTATGCCCTTACAGTTGGCTCTCTTTTCTGATGCTCTGCCTTCGTAGTCGGCCTTTTTTTGAAAGATGCCATGAAATTCTGCCTCCTGACACTCAGAATTGATTTTTCTGGGAGGATGTTTTTGAAGGAGTCATTTGCTCATTAAGAGTTCTCTTTCCGAGGATGTGAGTGTTCCTTTCTCTCATCTTGGGATAAAAATAGTATACGAATGGATGAATGTTTTATTTCTTCTCTAGGCCATTGTTGGACCAGAAAAATTTTTGTGTTAATACTTGTTTTAAAAAATCTTACAACGAAAAAAAAAGAAAAAAAATCTTACAATGAAGTGATCATCTACCTTTAGCAAGAATAGGAGTTTATAGAATATAGACTGTGCATTTATACAATTTCTATACCTACATTTTTTTCCTCTGTACTTTTTCTTGATCTAGACTTTTTTTTCTACTTTAAAAAATAACTCATTTACTGATCCCACACTGTTTCAGTTCATTAGAGTTTTTTTTTTTTTTTCAAAAACTCAAAGGCTAAAATATTTTTTATAGGGTAAAATATTAAGGAATACCTTATGTGTAATTAGGCACATAAATCTCCGTCTTTGTCCTTTAGGTACTGCTACGTTTCCGTGCCAAATCCTAACATCTGATAGTTTCTGCACCCCTGCATACCTAGGGACCATTCCATTAACTTCCAAATAATCCATCTCTAGACCTGGCTGTTCACATGCATGGTGGTCTTAGGTGCTTTTGTGGGGAGTGAGGGTAGGCATTATTTTTAAGAACTCTATTTTACGTGTTTGTTTCCACATACCAACTACGCTATCTCATTCCTTAGGATCACAGCTTTCTCTTCCCAGTCTAAAAAAGGCTGATATTCCTCCTCTCTCCTCACTTCTTACTGCATTTCATAATGAGTTCTTTTGAAATATCTGTTCCTTGCACTCTGCTTTCCTCCTTCTCTTAGCCGTGTGTGTTTACGGTTTGGCCCCACCTCAGGTTCCTTCCCACTAGTCCACCCTGATCTTCCATAGCCTGCTTCAGTCATGGCCCCTTCCTGGTCAGAGATTTGCCACAGTAGCCTCTTACTTACCAGCTTATCCTTCATGATAACCATTTCACAATGTAGCCGAGTTGTTAAATACAGTTGGAAAAACCGACTTGATAAGATTAGCCACTTGCCAAAAGTCCTTACTTTGAAGAGGGTGCCAGAAAATATTTATCAAAGGACTATTTTTCTCTCTGAGAAAATACAAATCAGAAAGTTGAATGTCAGAAGACTTTAAAGCTGAAGTTTTAAAGGAAGCTCCCTGAGAAGATGTAGTGGAGATCTTCTCAGATTAGATGTCATGAGGCACTGTGCCCCAGAACCTGGTGGCCTGCTTCGGGCCTCACGGTCAGCAGCTTTCTGCAGAGACAGCCTTCCTCAAGTCAAGATTGTTTTCTTAAGTAGCAAAGACTTTGGCAAGAGCGTTTTGAGATTATCTACTGCAGGATTCCCAAGCCCATTATGGAATGGTCTACTCCTCACACAGTTTAATGGTCTTGAGGGGCAGGGTGGCCGTCCTGCTGTCCCACTAAACCATCCCATTATGCTACACAAATCCGCTTTACTGCCCACTGGGGCATCGTTGAGTGCAGGCCCGCGATGATTTAATGCCACCCTTGCGGCCTGAGAGAGTTACTGCATCACCAGCAGGAGAGCGTGCTTTTTCCCTGGCATTGATTTATATATTGGAAGGATCTGACTGACCTGCTGTATAACTTTGTTGCACAGATTAAACCTTGGCATCATCTCCTGAGCAGTTTCTCATCCTTGTGCTTGCCAGAAAGTGTATTGGGATGTAAGCAGACTTGCTGTTCTTGTTTAGACGCTTCCCAGTACTTTTCTGTTATGTGTGTTGTCTTAATATCCCCTTCTGACCTTATACTTCTGTCTCATGTTAACACGTGCCTGCACAGACCAGTTGTCTTGTGTGCCTTCTTGCTCTCGGATACTGGGAGCCTGGACAGTGTCTAGTATACTGCTCCTATTCAGTATTTTTAGACTTGCCCTCATCATCTTTTGGAGAGCTAATTTAGTCCCAGCTTACGATACTGTAAGTCATTAGAAGTCATTCTGTAGTAGAGTTGATTGAGTGTTCTAGAGAGAAATCACCGACTTTTTCTTTTCAATTCTGACCAGACATTCTCATAATTCTTATTTTCAGGTGCAATGAGAACATAGGTAATCTGACTTCTTTGCCATGTTTCAAAGACTTGGGGATTTCTCAAACCATTAGTTTTATGGAGTTAGCAATATTTTAACTTAACCTTTATTGATAAGTTCATCTTTTGTGTGCTTACTTGTTTGTGATTTGGTGGGAGGGCAGGATGTGTTTTGTGTTTTTTTCCAAGCTTTTTAAATATAATAAAACCTGGAGTTCTGTTAGTATGTAGTTACGTTGTTTCTGTTATTATGTACTAGCAAGTCAGAACCAACTCATAGCTGACTCCCCAGAGAGTTTTCAGAGACTGCAAATCACACTGGGGGAGATTGCCCGTCTTTCTCCTTTAGAGGAGCTGCTGGGTTTGAACCACGTGCCTCTGGGTTGACAGTGCAACTCTTTACTAGTGTACTACCAGAGCTTCGTTAGTTGTTGTATGGTGGTGGTGGTGTATGGTGCCAAGTTGGAACCAACTCACAGCTGAGCCTCCAGTGGCTTTTCAGAAGCAGAGAGATCACATGGAAGGAGGTCGCCCATCCTTTTCCTGTGGAGCAGCTGGTAGATTTGAACCTCACACTTTTGGGATGGCAGTGCAATTAATTTCTTACCACTGGGCTGCCAGAGCTGTATTAATGCTTCTAATTTGTGTGCTGAGAATAAATAAATATAACCCATCAGAGACATATGTCTCTTTCATACTGTGATAATACACAGTTGTTTTTATCCACATACTGACTCTATTTATTCTAATTTCAGGCATAAACTTTTAAAACGTTGTACAGCAGGACCCAGTCGACCTCCCACAATATCGCAACCAGGTTTCAGTGCAGGACCATCTTCATCTTCATCTTTACCACCTCCTGCTTCTTCTAAGCACAAAACAACAGAGAGACAGGAAAAAGGAGACAAGTTGCAAAAGAGACCCTTGATACCATTTCACCACCGGCCCTCGGTGGCTGAAGAGTTATGCATGGAACAGGATCCACCGGGACAGAAGCTGGGGTTGGCAGGGATTGACTCCTCCTTGGAGGTGTCCAGCAGTAGGAAGTATGATAAGCAAATGGCCGTGCCTTCCAGAAACACAAGCAAGCAAATGAATCTGAATCCTATGGATTCACCTCATTCCCCTATTTCCCCGCTGCCACCAACACTCAGCCCTCAGCCCCGAGGTCAGGAAGCAGAGAGTTTGGACCCGCCGTCTGTCCCTGTGAATCCAGCCCTTTACGGAAACGGGCTTGAGCTCCAGCAGTTGTCAACTCTGGATGACAGGACCGTCCTTGTAGGCCAGAGACTGCCTCTGATGGCAGAGGTCAGCGAGACAGCCCTGTATTGTGGGATCAGGCCCTCAAACCCAGAATCTTCAGAGAAGCAGTGGCACAGTTACTGCCTCCCACCCAGTGAGGATACTGAGTTCAAGCCGCCCGAGCTCCAGGGTGACAGATACGATGCCAAAATGGAGGTAAACTCCGAGAGCACCGCGCTGCAGAGGTAAGGCGAGAAGCCGTGTGGTCACAGACACCTGCCCAGGGCTGCCCTCACCTCCCATTCCACCCTCAGGCCGCACCACAGCGGGCTTTGCTCTACCGTTCCTGACTCACAGAAAGTGCTGTGTTCTTTATGAAGGTTGGCACTCAGCGGCATATCAAGGCTCCTTGTAGCATTTTAATATTTTCTTTTTACCTACTGTGTCTTAATCAAAGACCACATTTCTTTGTATTTGAGCCTTCCCATATTGCTGTCAGCACCTCGTTCATATGTTGACACTTCAGAGGATGGCTTAATTTACGTTTGGGTGTCTGGTCATAGGAATTCACTCCTTCTGTGAGCCTCACACGCATTACCTCACTTACTTTCTCCACTCCCACATCATTATCTTCATTTCCTAGCTGAGAAACTGAGGTCATGCAGCTAGTAAATGACACATGGAACTGGAACCTAGGCAGTCTGTCCTCAAAAGTGCGTGGGGCCAGAGGGCAATCAGGCTCAAACATAATGTTCTTGGAAAAGCCTTCTGAGATGTATTTATCTGTGAATACAATTTCTAACAGAATAGCACTAAATGGATGTACTTTTTAATGGAATCATATGTGCAGCTCTGTTTTTTGAAATGATTTTGCCTTGTTGATCTTGCTTAAATTTTCACTTCTTTTTCCTTTCAGACTCTTAGCACAGCCTAACAAACGGTTTAAAATCTGGCAAAACAAGCAGCCCCCAATGCAGCCTCTCCACTTCCTCGACCCGTCATTGCCCCTAACCCAGCAACCAGGGGACAGTGTGGGAGAAGTCAATGATCCATATACCTTTGAGGACGGTGACATAAAATACATTTTCACAGCAACCAAGAAATGCAAGCAAGGAACGGAGAAAGATTCCCTGAAAAAGAATAAGGTACCCTTTGACCTCAAGAGGGTCCCGTGTGGTGTGGGGTTCTGTCTGTGGTGACACAAGTAGGAAGGTGTTTGAAGCAGAACGTTTGGGATAGTCTTGCCTGATCGCTCTGTCCCCATATTCATGCTCTTGGTACTATTGTTATCGAACAGCGAATCACTCCTTTTTATGTCATGGCTCACCTTTGTTTAAAAGTCAGCCGAACATAAATGAAGCCTCATATTTTCCAGGCTGTAGCTCGCCCAGTGCATGCTTCTTCTCATATGCTAATTCTTATTGGCCTATGCTCCCTGCTTATTCCTCTTTAAGGATAACTAAAAAGTAGCTGATATGAAAAGGAAGGAAAAAAAGAAGTTGATTCTATCAACCATTTACTGGGCGCCTGTTATGTTTATTACACTGAGCGCTTTACCTATTTATCTCACTGGATTAATAATAACACTACTCCCAAACTGTCAGTGTTAATTTTAATGACTTCTTCTGTCATAAATATCTGTACTGGTGGTGTCTGCTATCTTACCCCTTAAATTTTAAGACATTCTGAAATATTGGACCATATAAAAAAATATTCTTGAGAGTAGATGAAAGGAGACAATTAAAAGAGGCCAGTTTAGTTCCTGGGAGTGTTTCATAGACTCATGTCCAGAGATCTCTTTAGATCCAGAAAGCATGATGCATGATTCCGCATCAAAGCTGTTATGAAAGGCAGCTTTTAGCTCCATGGCCGGCCTGAAATAAAAAACCCCAGTACCTTTTAGGCTTAAAACCCAGCTTCACTTAGAATGCCCCATGGGGTTGAGGGAAAAGTGGGGGCATTCTTGGTTCAGTTCAAATTCAGGAAAAGGGCCTCTCTTTGGTCTCCTTTGGCTGCATAGACCATGGTTTATCATACCTGTGCTCATAACAAGTTCCATTCTACCCTCTAATTCTTTGTGTTCTCCCTCATATTTCACACTTTGGGTTGGTGTTCATGTGTTTTGTTTGGCTGAATTTATTATACAGTCAGAGGATGGATTTGGTACCAAGGATGTCACTACACCAGGTCATTCCACGCCGGTGCCTGATGGGAAAAATGCCATGTCTATTTTCAGTTCTGCTACTAAAACAGGTGTGTACAATGATTATTTGCCTCACTTGGATTGTTGCTAAAATGAAATGCCAGGGAGATGTCTCTTACTTTAGAATGATATTATATGTAGTAGTGATAATTTGATCTCACCTTTGATAGAATTTATCCTCAGTTCCTTTCAAAACTGATAAACATACTTGGAAATAATCGTCTCTAAATTGAGTTAAAACCATAGGGAAGAAATTGGCAGGCAGGTCTTGTGCTTTGAGATCTGTGTGCGCCCCTCAGGCCTGCCCTCTTGGCAAAGCCGCTCATTCTCATCCTTCTGCCTCCTTCCTGCAGATGTCCGGCAGGATAACGCTGCTGGCAGAGCTGGCTCCAGTAGTCTCACGCAGGTGACAGACTTAGCACCTTCCCTGCATGACTTAGACAACATCTTTGATAATTCCGATGACGACGAACTTGGGGTGAGTCTGCCAGTTCACGCCCCAAGTTTCCCTCCAAGGGAGACAAGGGAGTTGTTTCTTTATAGTTTACTCTGCTGAATTTTGGAGCTCTTCTTCAGGTTTTGAATGTTTTAAAAAGTATTGTTTGGTATTTTAATGTTGGTGTCTAATACCCTTCAACAAATGTGGCTGTAAAAACATTCAACAAATTACCATCTTTTGAACGTAGTGTCTGCCATCTCTTGAATGATGTTTATTGATGGTCTTCCTCATTTATGTTGTTCCTGTTGTAAAGATCACAATTTTTTCCATTTAGTAACTCCTAGATTTCATGGACTTGATAGAAATGTGTTGTGTAGTCATTCTGGCTCAGTTTTGAAAAATACTTATCTAATACATCAGAGGTCTGTATCTGAGAGCTATGGAATTCAGATCTGTTGCATACTGTTTAGGAACTTGGCATCACAGTAAGGAATAGAATTTATGAACAGAAAGGTTAAAGAATACAAATCATTGTCAGTATGTGATTGAAATGCCAGGAAAAATTGTCCTTCTGTGAAGAACAGTTAGGCTTAGAGGCTGCATGTGGACACGTCTCCTTGTCTTTATAGCCATCTGTGTTCCTTTGGGCAAAGACAAGAGCCCGTTGATTTCTGGGGAACCTACAGATGGGTAAGATTGGTCCTCTTTTCAAGAATATTGCTTGTTAGTTTAGTAGCTGGTTAGTTTAGTATTTTTTTAATTTGATTTATTTGCATACTTCCCCATCTACCTATGTTATGTATGCTGCTAATAATTGACATACACATTTAATCATTTGTGACAGGTACCAAACCCTAACCCTTGAGGTTACAGAGATGATTCAGTTATTACCCTTGTACTTGAGATACAACTCATGGAGAAATAATATACGTAGGATGACAACAGTATACTTATTATATACTGTGTGTCTAGTCATAGGCTCAAATCTAAAGATGCTGTGTGTTACAGTAATAAGTGACAGAGAAGCACTGTTTAAGTTAAGGCTTGAAGGTTAACTTGGCACCACATCTTTAAGGCCCTGTTCACTTTAAAGAAAATACATCTGCTTAGCAAAAAAATACACACCTTTCACGTTACAGGTCTTTAGAAGATGAGAGCCGTAATAACCACAAAGAATTGATTTGACTTGAAATGTGGAAGGTTGAGATCACTGAGAGATGGAGGAAGGGACATTGGTTTGAGGCTGACCTGAGCCTTAGTTAACAAGGTTGAACAGAAAGGATTTGGGGTGCTCCGAACAGACCATTATTGGGGTTTCTGATGGGCCAGAGAGATAAATATGGCTAGGAAGGCTCTTCCTCTTCTACCCACTGCGCAGCTCAGATCTTCCAGTGTCAATCTACACGAGTAGTAAGTTCCTCTGATGGCTACTGAGTGTAGAAGTAAATTGTGCTTTGAAATCATCCTCATTTGTAGGAGACAGGGCTGTTACTTGGTATGTTTGATATCTTTTATCTTGCAAAGCACAAGGACATGAGTATGTGAAGTAAGTGAAGGAATGACAGACGTGACAGTGTGGAAAATGATAGGCTTTCTTGTTGCTGGTCCAGATGACAGCCCTTTCTGAGCCTAACCATCTCCCTAAAGCCTTGCATTGCCTTCTGCTGTTTTAATAACTCTGAGGACTAGGAAGGGCCTTGGTGGTGATGGTAGGAAGAGCCTATGAAGTAGAAAGGAATCACAGCTTGAAGGGGAAAGGGCTGAACGGTGCCACCTGGCTCAGATTCATTGTCACCATTGGGAGCAATTGCTCAGTGTCACGATTGTCTACATCAAGTGCAGGCGACTGTTAGTTTACGTTAACATTTCAGGATGCATTAGTTAATATGACAGGCCCTGGTGGTGTCTGGCACGAGTTGAGCTGTTTACCCATAGGCCACACCTCTGTGGCAATTCCCATGTGCTGGCAGCTCCAGGGAAATGGGTGAGCAGTCTCCTTCCATGTGATTGACACCTTGAAAACCTATCGGAGAGTCAGCTGGGAGGCCCTTCCTACTCACCAGCAGTGCTGACATGCAGAGCACACGTGGACATTCTTGAGCTCATTTTCCATTTTCTTAAATGAGTTTAGCAGTGATTTTTATCCTAGTAAAATCACCTTATCGTGATTTCTAGCATTTAATCTTGTGAATGCTGCTAGTCCAGTGGCGTGCAGTTTGAATTCACCAACTGCTCTGTGGGAGGAAGATGGGCACTCTCCTCCTGTGCAGTTTAAAGCCTCTGAAAACCCACTGGGTGTCAGCTATGGGTCAGTTCTGACTTGAGGCCCTTAAACCACTAAGAATAGTATGTAAGATAGGCCTTTGACAGCTTTCCAGCTCAAATGGCTTAGAATTTAATTTTTGTTTTTAAATTCCGTGTCATTGTATAGCAGTAGAAGAAATAAATCGAAAAGACTTTCAGGTTATAAAAATCCTTTTTCATGATTTTATTTTATTGTCATCAGTTTATTTGCATTCTTCAGGATCTTCTTTCCTAGAAATACAGAGAATTAAACCCAGTGCCTTCAAGTCATCCTGACTCCCAGCACCCCTGTAGGATAGAGTAGAACGGCTCCATAGGTTCCCTTGGCTGGAATCACGAAGGAAGCTGACTGGGGGCTCAAACGGCAAGCTTCCGTTAAATTCCAAGTACTTGAACCCTTGTATCACCAGCACACCTGTTTTGTGTTGTAAGGACCTTGAAATAACGGAAAAAACCTTCCCATGAAGGGTTGTTTGTTGTGAGGCTGTACAGTAACTTGAAATAGGTGCTGAAGAAACCTGGTTTCTTGTGAAAATGAGAAGATGAATAGTTTCAGAGGACTGGCGTCATCCATTTGAGCTCCCGCTTTCACGCAAATGGAAAAGCAAACTGAATGCCAAGTGTAGCTGGAGGCCCCGCCCTAACACCCTCATGTCATCATTTCACCATCATCCCACCTGTGGCGCTCCTCTCCTGCGGGCGAGAAGTGCTGTGTCCCTGCCTGATGGCACAGTCTGCCCTCACCAGGCCTGGCAGGACAAACCCAAGTACTGCTTCCTCCTCCTCCTCAAGCTGGCGACCATCATTATTTACTCTGCTGGTGTTTCAGGGGTTCACCCCAGGAACACTGTGTAAGAAGGCATCACTCCCTTTGCTGTTTTTGGCATTTTTAATTTTATTTGTGTAGTTGTGTTTCTTCATGTACATTGTGTTTCTGACGTTCCTTTATTCACATTGTGTTTCATATGATCGTTCCCATACACTGTTTTGTAAAATTAATCACCACTGATCTGTATGACCACTTGTCACCCTGTCTTTTTTAAATTCTCCACTAGATCTGACCCAATTCCTTCAAGCCCTTCCTCTGCCCATCAAACTCTGTGACCCCATGTATTCCTCCCTCACCATCCTCAGGCTCCCAACTCTCCGCTTCCACCTTTGAACTTTTATCTAGATCTTATTAGTTATCTTTCTGTTTTTACAATAATGATCTTATTTAGTTCACTCAACATAATGTTCTTCTGCCTCTCCTATGTTACATTATTGTTGTTAATGTTGTTTTGTGCCAGAGTTGCCTGCGACTCATAGCGACTCAGTGTACATTAGCTCTGAAGCCTGCCCTGTCCTGAGCCAGTCTGATTGACTCCTACACACCTACCCCCATTGCCCTAGTCAGTATATCAATCCATCTCATCCGGGGTCTTCCTCTCCTGTGCTGTCCCTCCACTCTTTCAAGCATGATGTCCTTCTCCAAGGATTGGTTCCTCCTAGCCACATGCCCAAAGTTTATAATACAGTTATTTTTAAATGTCAGTAGACTGCTGAGGGAGAGTGAATGGCTGCTGTGTTGCATATATGTTACATTGGTGTGACATATGTGATTTATTCTTAGGCTGTATCACCTGCACCACGCTCATCAAAAATGCCTGTGGTTGGGACAGAAGACCGGCCTCTTGGCAAAGATGGAAGAACCGCAGTTCCTTACCCACCAAGTAAGTGGAGCAAATTGATGGAGGCCTACCTCCCTACCTGTGACTCACAGCCTTCTCTCACTCAGTGCTCTATGATGCCTCGTCTGAGAGCCCCTTCCTTTTCTTTTCTGGGACAGAAATCTGGCTGTAAACTGAAACCTGTGTCAGTGTCTCTGTGCTAATAGGAACTGCATGTGAGCACGTGAAAACACACACACTCTCACTCGCTCTCGTGCGCGCTCTCTCTCCGCCCCCTCTCCCTCCCTCCCTCCATCCCTCCTTTCCTCCTTTCCTCCTTTCTCTTTTCCTTTATGGTTTGAAATATAGGGGAGCAAAAGATTTAAGTTTGTTTTTCTAATAATCCTCTCCTAGTAGGATAAATACTGCTCAAGTGATTTATCAAGGAAGTATCTCGTTATGGTGCTTGTAAAATCTTTTCCTTTTCATCACTTTATTCACCATAGGATAATGAATTGTTAGTTTTCTGTGGTCTTTTTGCAGATTCATCCTGAAGTTTTTGTGTCTTTCTTTGGAAGTGAGCTTGTTTTTATTATGCATGCTGACAGAAAGAGAGACACCTTTTTCCCCCTTCTTTAGTATATTCTCTATCCTGAGAAGCCACATTATGCTACAAGAGAAAAGGATGTCAGGGTAGCTGTGCTGAAGCAGAAACATAATTCTATTGCAAATCATTCTTTAATATCTTCTCATTAACTTCAGCTGGTAATGAGAACAAATTGAGGGGAAAAACCACCATGTCATAGGGATGAGTCAAAAAGTTTTATGAACCTATAAATGTAGTGCTGATTTACTCGAATGTAGAAGTGTGAAGTATGCAGAGATTGCATTTTGACAGTTTCAGTGGATCCATAGCTTTTTAAAATATGCACAGCTTTCTCAAGCACGACGCGTATGAAAATGAGTAATGATAGCCAGCCAGTTGCTGTGGTTTTTTCTTAATTAAACATTTTTCTTTTTTTATTACCCTGTACTGCAGAATTTTCCAAACATGGAACTCACAGATTAAAAGACATACTATTGAAATGGCTACATAGGGAAAAGGTCAGAGGAGTGGACTCTTCCCTTGTGTTGAACTGGGTAACCACTCTGCTTTTAATCTGACATGAAGTGACACATATGACATTAAATATCAGATCACTTGTCTAAATTTGTTCACTCATCAACCATCTTGCTAGTTGGTATCACTACCCAGAAAAGTAAAATTATGTGCTCTTTCATTTCTGTTCATGAAAGAAGTTATTTAAAAGAGAAACTACTCAAAATCTTATGTTAGAGTATGGATTATAAAATCCATATAAAATCAATGAATTTGGAATATGGTACAGAAATCCTAGCATCCACAATGCCAGGTATATGCAAGGGTTAAGAGGATCTTTTTAATTTTTTTACCATGTGTATGTGTGCCTGGGTATAGACACACACAGAAATGGGAATGAAAAAGCAAGGTGTGTTCCTCTCTGTAGCTCCTCTAGTGGACATGAAGTTGGGAAGACAGATGTGTGTGGATGCTGTCTACCCAGAGCTGCTTGTGCAGTAGAAATACATGCGGAGCCACACGTGCTAGTCTTGAATGTCCTAGTAGCTCTTGTTACTAAGAAAGTTATAGGAAGCCAGTGAAATTCATTTTAATGATGTTTTATTTAGCCTAATGAATTGCAATGTAGTCCATAGGGAGTTTCACTGAAAACCCAAAGCCACACCTTTCTGAAGGTTCAAACCCACCAGCGAGAAGATAGGCAGTCTCCTTTTTAAAAACATTTATTTATTTATTGTTATTTTAACAAAAGTCTACAGCAAGTTGGATTTTCATTCATTCATTCATTCATTCATTCTTGCACTTTCTCCTCCACACCCCCTCCAAGTTCTCTCACAAAAAATTATTCACTCATTATTATCTAATTTCCTCCTTCCCCTCCCCCAGTCTACTTTGCTTATTCTTAGTCTGGACTGTTGTCATACAAATAATACTTAATCATGTATTCCTTCTAAGTAGTCTCTTTTTTTTCAGTTTATAGTCTCCAAAAAACTCCTGATGAGTTTTCAGCTGTGAGTTGGTTCTAACTTGACAGGATGAGTAGAGTTTGTTGAGTTGACTGTATCCACATGTTATAACTTGTTGGTAAGAAGTCCTGAGGCACTTTGTCTTTTTGGACCTTCCAGTGCATTGGTTTTATATGCAGTAACAGTCTCTCAGCTCAGGCAGACCCTTGAGTTCTCAGTAGTCACGTGCAGCTTGGGCGTGGTAGTGGGGAGCAGACATCCATAATAATTTGCCTGTGATGGGTAAGGAAGAAAGCAGCAGGGCATAGCAAGTCGGTTTACTTTAGCATCAGTCTCTGTTAATCTAGGTAGTGTTGTGTCAGTAATAAAATGGTAATAAAAGTATTTTCGTTTTCTTAGGCTTTATTGTTAACTAATTGTTTATTAATTTCTGCCTTTAATTGTATGTCAGTTTGAGAGTCTTTGAGGGGGCAAAATGAAGGAGTTAGACTTTGGATTTGCCTCACTTGAGATATTCTACAAGAGCACCTGCCTTTTGCAAGGACTCTGTTAGGTGCTTGGTGGGGGAGGATTCTGGAAGTCCAAGATGGTCCACATTTGAAAGGATTCCGCCTTGTATGGAGACACTGAATGCAGAACACAGGCCACAGGGGGGTTGTGGTGTACTCTGGCCAAGCACAGGACTTGTGCAGGGTCTAAGGAGTCAGGGAGAGTGGAGCAAGTGAGTTTGTTCTGGCTGTGGCCTCTCTCCCCTCCCTCAGTTTTACTATTTTTTATGAAGACAGTCCTACAGATAAAACCATGTTTTTCTTTTCTTGACACCCAAGGAGTTTCTCTAGATAATTTGCCACTTTGAGTCTCAGTTGTCTTTGATCGTCTCATGACTTCTTCAGAATCATTTCCTTACCAGAAATTCCATGAGACTTTGGAGGCACACAGACTTAATAAATGCTTATATGTATGGGTCAGAGCATTCCTTTATGTACATGTGTTCTTTCACTTAGTATGTACAAAAATGTGTCAAGTACATGTCGTTATTCCCATTTTCCAGTTGGGAACATGGAAACTACAGAGATTTAGAATCTTCTGTTAGAGTATCAGGTAATAACAACAGTGAGACTGCTTTTTAAAGTCTCTCTCCAGCAGCCAGAATCCCGTGCTATCCATGGTATTTTTTGGCTGCTGTTTTAGCTTTGATAAAAATTGTCCTCCTGGTTGAAGCCTTGAAAACTGAGGTCTGTGACTGTTAGGTAGCATCAAAGAAATCAAGTTGCCGAAGTGAAAGTGCTTTCATGACAATTTTTAGAAGAAATTTAAAAGCCCAAGTTTTAAAAATTTGTATTGTTGCACATTTTCTCCCCCCCGCCCTCCGTCTCCTTTGCAGTGCACCTCTCGTTCCAGGTTGTTGTCATGTGTATAATGCCTAATCATACATTCCTTTCACACAGTCCTTCCCCTCATCTGCTGCTCCAGTGTAGTGTTCATTATCTGTCCACACTTCTCCTATTCTACCCACAAACTCCCATGCCAGTCCTATTTTATAACAGCAGTGTTATTCACTACTTGTCCTTTTGTGACTGAGAAATTTTACTTAGCATAATATTCTCCAAGCTCACCCATAAAAACACAGATTTCAGAAAAAATTAGTTTTTTTGGTAGATTTTGTACCACAGCCAGAACATTTCCAAGTAAAGGAGAGGCAGAGCTTAAACACACTGTCATTTTAAATCAATGGCAATTTAAACAATTTCATTCTTGCCCAGAGATTGATATTGGCAATTAAGATCTATAGTGCAATGTGGCTTTGAAGATTTTGTGAGGCAGAATTCTAGCTAATCACATTTACAAATTAGTTTTGTAATAAAACTGACTAGTAGCTGCTATGTGACTTGGCAAAAAAAAAGTTGAAGGATGTATTTCATTGTATGTTAAAATCTTCTGTTTTAAAGGAAATCACATAAATCTGGTTGGCTGCTACATTTAATAACCACCTTTTCCACTTTGGAGATTACCCATCTTTTTCTCAGGAAGTAGCTGATGGGTTTGAACCACATGCCTTTGGGATTGCAGTGTACCTTATTATCTCTAGGCCACTAGAACTCCAGTTATATATTATGTCTCAGGGCTCTTTTTAGGACCATTTTGGTTATATTCTTGTTGTAACTGTTCGGTGCTAGTCAGGTCATTTCCGACTCACAATAACTTTATGAAGGAATTGTGCCTGACCCTGTGCTGTCCTCCCATGCTATGTTGAGCCCATTGTAGCGGCCGTTTCAGGTCATCTCATTGAGAGTCTTCCTCTTTTTTCACTGACTTTTTTTTTACTTTACCATGAATGATGTCTTTGTCTAGGCCTGCGGTCTCTCTTGTGTTGGTCCCATCAAGTATTACTGGTATTACTAAGATGGATGATATCATGGTACTGAATGGAGTATCTGAGATGAAGTCTGACCATTCTCACTTCTGAGGAGCATTCTGACTGTACTTCTTCCAAGACAGACTGCTTCATTCAGTTGTGTCCTGATTTCTGTGAGTTGTTAAGGCCCTTAAGGGTAGGCTGCTCTGATAGCAAGACGGGTGCCTTCTGCATCAGCTTTGAGCTTGTGGGTTTTCTTTATGTATAGCAGTTATCAGGTGCTGATTTGTCTAATGAAGTCCTGACCTAGAATCCTGCTGGAGAAGGGGGCAGCCCAGACTCCTTCCTACTTGGCCCTGCCCCACTTGCCAGTTTTACACACAGACTCCAGCGGCCAAGGCAGGGATGATGGGTGAGAAGAAACCTGTGGTTGCTTAGCTGCATATGCAGTGAGGACGGTCTGCCTCGTTCAGAGAAGCTCCTCTTTGTTTCTGTCTCGGAATGTGCAGCTGCTTGGGAGGTTGTTTCCTTCCTTGAGAGGAGGGAGCAAGGCAAGCTTGGTGACACTCGCATCCATTGAGCCGTCCCTGTTGAGAAGGAAGGTACTGACAAGGAGGCACTGATCAGGACATAGATCGCTGCAGTCAGTGTCATTCACAGTGCTGCCCCACCCCGGACTCTGCCCCCGGCCAGGGAATATGACACACTCATTCTTCCTTCATTTCCAGTTAGAAGCTGAAAGTCCTGGCCTAATTGATTCTGTAGCTACACTTTGGCTGTTCAAACCTTGGAGCTGTTAGAAAGAGGATTGTGGTTGTTGTGTACTGCCAGGTCAGAACCTCCTTGGAACTGGCCCTCCAGTGGGTTTTCAGAGGCAGTAAGTTGTACAGAATGAGATTGCCCACTTTTTCTCATGGAGCAGCTAGCTGGTGGAGTTGAACTGTGTACTTTTGACCTGACAGTGCAACTCCTTAGGTACCAGAGCTTCTTAGGGAAGAGTAGTGGGATGAGAAAAAGGTCATAAATGTACTACTTCCAAATGACCAACTTTGTAAATACCATTTCTGCACAGGACACCGCCTAGTGGCCAGAGTTCACAAGCACAGCTTGGATGTTGTCCTGCTCGAAGAATCCACGCTGCAAGGAACAACTCTTAATGGTCTTGTTCACCTCTAATTGTCTTCACGGATATACATATGTATATATATGTAAAAGAGCAAGAATCAATGTTTTGAGTATTCTTTAAATTAAATTTTTACTTTCAAGAAATTGTTTTTAGATTGTAGGTAGAACTGTTATTTCTAAATAAGAAAACTCATTTTTGTGTCAGTCTGGAAGACTTTCCTGCAGACAGGTGCTGTGAGAGTAGCAGGTAATCTGCCCATGTAAACAAGCTAAATGAACCCACGGCACTTCAGCCACCAGCTCCAGCTTCACACCATTTCCATCCTCTGTTGAGAATACCCAGAGTTGCTCATAGCTTCTCCGAGTATAGGATCTGCTCTCTACCATTTGCTAAATAATTCTGAAATGTTTCTTACTTGAGCTTCACAGGGATAGGATTTTTTTTAAAGTAGATACTCCATCTCATTATGTCAAATTTCTCTGTAGCACATTTCCTTAGACTTGCCTATCAGTTGTTGGGAGTAAATGAAAATCCGTGTTGTGTAGATTTTGTTCACTTACTTATTGTGAGGCCAAATCATCAGATAATGTGCCAGTTCCTGAACGTGACTCCATTCTCCTGACAGCCCTCTTCCACAGAGGTCTCCATTCATGGTCAGTGTTCTACGTGTAGCTGATGGGATGCCTCAGGCTGCATCATTTGTTGCTAACTGGGGGTAGGTGTTTGGAGAAGCTCTGCCTGATAAAAGAAGTGTGTTGCATCTTTTCCTTTCCTTTTCAGCAGTTGCAGACCTGCAAAGGATGTTCCCCACCCCCCCGTCTTTGGAGCAGCACCCTGCTTTCTCCCCCGTGATGAATTACAAAGACGGAATCAGTTCAGAGACAGTGACAGCCCTGGGCATGATGGAAAGTCCAATGGTCAGCATGGTTTCCACGCAGCTCACAGAGTTCAGAATGGAAGTGGAAGATGGATTAGGGAGTCCCAAGCCAGAGGAAATCAAGGTAGGTGTCAGCCGATGGACTTGTACCAGGCAGGGTGATTCCCAGGTGTAAACCACACAAGTGTCTCAGAATTGTTAGTCTTGGTTCATAGTATATATATCACCACAGGAGCTCTGGCAACACCTTGGTTAGAAATAAGCCCTTGACTGTTAACCTATAAGTTGATGGCTTGATTTCACCACAGTCTACAGAGAGGAGGCCTGGCTGTGTGCTCCTGTGAAGGTGACAGACTTGGAATCCTTGTGAGCAGTTCTACTCTGTCACTTGGGGCCACTGAGTCAGAATCAGCGACGACAGCAGGCTGGTTTGTTTTAATAGGTAAATCACTTGACACCTCAAATACGGTGTCTTTGTTTCAGTAAGAGAAATCCTGAACTACAATCTTTGTTCCATTTCTGCCGTGTTTAACACAGCACTGTGTGGCCGTGAATAGTTAAGTTCTTTAAGGCTCGTTTAAATAGCTTATTGGCATGGTGTTGACCCTGAACCCACCTTGTCATCACAGGACTTTTCCTATGTGCACAAAGTCCCAACCTTTCAACCCTTCGTGGGCTCCTCCATGTTTGCGCCGCTGAAGCTGTTGCCGAGCCAATGCTTGCTACCTCTGAAGATCCCCGATGCCTGTCTGTTCCGGCCTTCGTGGGCCATCCCTCCGAAAATCGAGCAGCTGCCCATGCCTCCTGCAGCCACTTTCATTAGAGATGGCTACAAGTAAGTACAGGGAGTGTGGAGTCCTTCGCTGTATAAGCAAGCATACCTTGACTGAGTTCACTTCACATATATTGCATGTTTTCAAATTGAGGGCTTGTGGCAACCTTGCATCTGGCAAGTCTGTTTGCTTCATTTTTTCTGCAGCATGTTTTCACTCTATATCTCTGCCACATTTTGGTTATTCTTGCAGTATTTCCAACTTTCCCATAATGCTATTGCACTGTTGATAGACTTCAGTGTGGTGTAAACATAACTTTTGTAAGCACTGGGAAATGCAATTCATGCGACTTACTTTATTGCTATGTCTACAATCGCAGCCATAGTATCTTCAAGATACACCTGTAGTGAGATTTTTATTTTAACTAAATATACTACTGTCATCATATTTAGTACAAATCTTTTAAAATTTGCCTTTATTGACAGTTCAGATTTTTTTTAGGTTGAAAGTATATACATTATTCTACATTGAAAATAAATCTTTTTTAAAAAAACACCACCACCAAGATCTCAAATATTTGGGAAATGAAGATTATTTGTAGAGAACCATGTGTCGGTGCTTATTCGGTATAAAATCGTCCTCGCCCGCAGACTCAAGCTGTCTGCATCTGGCAGTATAGATGCTTCCTTTTTAGGGCAGTGCTGGTGAAAAGTGTTTTATTTTATGTAAGTGGGTCATTTCAAATGTGTTCCTTCAACGTTTTAAAATGAAGAGCTAACACAGACCATTTTTCTCTCTCTGCACCCTCTTACGAGAAAGCGGCAGGAGAATAAAGGTGGGGTTTGGAGAAGGGGACAAAAAGGTTTTTTGGTCTTTGGGACATAGAGACAGCCTCCATGTTATATGCCATCTGTAGCTATGACCTAGCCCTTCAGAAAGTATTTCACCAGAAATTCAAGGCATACACAGTGATTTTTCATAACAGACACTACTTTACAACAAACTATTATTACTACTACTATTTTATGTTAAAGATATTTTAATGTTACTGTGTTTTTTTTTAATTTAAATTAGAGTAAAATAGTAAAGATAGGTTTATTTAAAAATTACATCCCCAAAAGGATGGACCTCCCTCTTTTAAAAGGTATATGGAAGTGGAGGCCTCATATCTTTAAATTTTTAATGCATGGAAAATTACCCTGTGTATCAAGACAAGCATTTGACTAACTCACATTAGCAACTGTACTTAACTGTTCTGATGTATGTACAGATTCACCCTACGACAAAGGGAATTAATCCAGGGATTGCCTGTGTTTGATACTGTCCAAAAATACAGTACTGGTAATTGTAAAACTGATTCCGTTGTCTGATGGTTAATAATTTCTTAATATAAGTAATTAATGCTTATAAAAGAAAAGGCTCCCCCCCCCCCCCAAAAAAAAAGGCCACAAATCTGGATTTCTGTCAGGACCAGGTGAGCAATGTAAGCCTGTGAGAGGATAGCCCCAGAGCTGCCTGGTGCTTACTGTCAAAGTGGGGCCAGTGAGGAGGCTGTTGAGGGCAAACCCCACCTGTAGGCATAGTTGTGTGTACCTGTGGGTTTGATGTGGTCACGGCTTTGTTTCTGAGGAGGCTGGAACTTTAGATTTTTATGTAAATTTACCTTTCTGAAAATGTTAGCCAACTCAGAGGTAACCTTTTACCACAAACAAGACAGGCGGTTGGTCCAGATCTAGTGTGTCAGCGTCTTACCTGTGCTGTGTAGAAGTACCCATGGGGTTTACGAGGTGGGACTGTTTATGGGAGCAGGTCGCCTGTGCTTTCTCCCATAAAGCTGCTCAGTGGCTTCAAGCCTCTACCTTTGCTGAGCAGCTAGGCGCTTCTAGCATGCTTGCGAAGTCAGTTTTGTGCTTGTGTATGTGACGCCAATATAAGGAGGACAGATATGACAGAGAAGCAGTGTGAAAGAACCCTGGATTGGGAGAGGCTGCATGGCCTTGTCTTGGGACTCAAAATTCCCACCTTCTCTCCCTTTTTGGTTTATTTCATGGATGACGTTAGAGAGACCATTTTAGCTGAATCTTTCCCCTTTAAAATGGGCTTTATCCGACCCAGCCTCCCATGCAGGCTCCACAGCCAAGTTCACGGCTTGGGTGTCCTGTGGGTAGCACTGTGCAGAGGGAGCAGCTGCCTTGTTTGCAACCCTGGCTTTGGATGCACATTGTCCACTGTACTGATGTACAGGCGGGCATATGACAGAGTGTGCTGGCCTGAGAGCTGTCACATATGCCCCCAGACTGTGACACAGCAGCTTTAGAGACCTGCACAGCAGGCTCCCAAGTGTCACGTACTACCTGTTGCTGTAAAATAATCTGCACCATTATTTTTACCCTGTAAATCTACCATTTGCCATCCCAGAGGTACCTGAAGATTCTTTGTGTTCTGGACCAGCACTTTCCAGGACAACTTGCAAGGTACTGGAAGTGTTTCAAGTCTGTGCCATCCAGCATGGCAACCTCTAGTCTCAGGTTGTATCTGGGACCATTAGGACTAGCATTTGTACTGAATTTGCAGCTTTATTCTGATGAAATGCTGGTAATCTGTGTGGCTCCAGTGGCTTCCTTCATGGCTGTACTGCTGGGACCACCATCCACTAGAAGACATGCCCTCTTCTATTACACACGCACCTGCAGGCAGTGTCTGCATCCTGGCTTCTGAGCTGGGACTTGGATGACTCTTTTTAAGTGCTGAAGCCTCAGTGTCAAGTTTAGAGTTTGACACCCAAGTTTTACCGAGGGGAGAGGAGACCAAGCTACTATATAAGATAAAACTCTTGCTTCCTGGAAGCAATGTAATGATTTTAAGCTTTGAGTTAGTAGTTCAACTTCTTTTCTGATCTGAACAACATAATAATTCTTGGATTTCATTGAACAAGAAAATTTGAAAGGAGTCCAATTAGAGTAAAGATCATTATTAAACATATTAGTTTGGTCTCAGAGAGCAGTGATTGCCAGTCAAGGTTTCTGGGTCATTTTTAATCTGTATTCAAAGATACCCCCATGTCTCAAATTGAAAACTTCTCTACGGTGCCTGGTTTGGATCTTTAGGATGATAGTTTAAGCATAGCTAATTAAAACTCACAAGAAAATTATTTCAAGAGTCATTGTGTCATGACTGTCTTCTTTCAAGTTAAAAGTGAATGAATGCATAGTCTGGGCAGAGGATCACTTTCAGCACCATAATGATAAATATCAAGAGAGCATTAAGAGTAATAGGGGGCGGGGGAAAGAATCTGTGTCCTTTTGATACTTGGAAGTGGAATGAATGGACTTTTACACTGCTTTCCATGAACACTAAGAATGTTCACCAAGAAAGTTTTTCACAATAATAACATAGAAGAACAGTAAAGGCACTCCGTTTTGTCTATTCCTAAGAGGAGCCACTGCTCATAAACCAGCTACTGAGTCTATGGGACCGAAATGAGCGTGCCGTAGCTAACACACAGCACACTGTGGGCTGAGAGTGAACCATAAGGCCTCCTGCCCCACAGGTGTCTGTTAGAAGCTGAAAATTGTGGTCCGACATGTGGCCTTCTGCACATCCATCTAATTAATAGTAAGACCTCCTGGTGCCATATGTAATATTTAGATTAATTGCAGGATAGTATTGGCAAATGGAGTTACCAAAAGTAGAATCCCCTTACAGTCACTCATTACTGTGAAATTTCAAGTCCAGATAGGACTGCATTTGGAAAATTAGAAAACTGTGAAAATCTGATTCTAATTTACTTTTTAGGATCATCTATGGATCATAACCTCTGAGAACAAGTTCTCTAACAAACTTTCAATTCCAAAAAATGGAAAAGAATGTAACTGCAAATTAGATGTAAATGTAACCCTCAGCTCTTCTCTCTCCTTGAGCATCTGAAGTCCCATTTAGAGGTTGCAGCTTGTCGAGATTCCATTAGCCAAAGCCAGCCCTGTGCTTTCTTGTGAGCGCAGTCGAAGCTCCCTGCTCAGGTTTGCTGAAGCGTGGCCTGGGGACGAGCGGGAAGCGCTGTGGTGGTGTCGCGGTGCCCCTGCTGCTCACACACTTTGACGCCTGTCAATTTGGGTTTGTAAGAGAACCAGGATAGGCACTCTTCAGCCAGGGTAGGGTGGCTGGCCCAGCCTGGGCCTGTCCACGTGTCTGGAGAGGGCCCATCTTTACTGCTCTTCTTCTCTTCTATCACAGTAACGTGCCTAGTGTCGGGAGCCTCGCAGACCCAGACTATCTGAACACGCCACAGATGAACACGCCTGTGACACTCAACAGCGCTGCCCCAGCCAGCAACAGTGGGGCCGGCGTCTTGCCATCTCCAGCCACCCCTCGCTTCTCTGTCCCCACACCTCGAACCCCCAGGACCCCAAGAACTCCCAGAGGTGGGGGCACTGCCAGTGGGCAGGGGTCTGTGAAATATGACAGCACCGACCAGGGGTCACCAGCCTCTACCCCCTCCACCACACGGCCCCTCAACTCTGTGGAGCCTGCCACCATGCAGCCAGTGCCCGAGGCCCACAGCCTCTACGTCACCTTGATCCTCTCCGACTCAGTGATGAATATCTTTAAAGACAGGAACTTTGACAGCTGTTGCATCTGCGCCTGCAACATGAACATCAAAGGTGCAGATGTCGGGCTGTACATCCCTGACTCCTCCAACGAGGACCAGTACCGCTGCACCTGCGGCTTTAGCGCCATTGTGAACCGCAAGCTTGGCTACAACTCGGGACTCTTCCTTGAAGACGAGTTGGATATTTTTGGGAAGAACTCCGACATCGGCCAGGCTGCAGAGAGGCGGTTAATGCTGTGTCAGACCACCTTCCTGCCTCAGCTGGAGGGAGCCCGCAAATCCCAGGAGCCTCCTGTTAGCCTTCTCCTCCTCCTGCAGAATCAACACACACAGCCTTTCGCCTCCCTGACTTTCCTGGACTACATTGCCTCCAACAGCCGCCAGACTCTGCCGTGTGTGAGCTGGAGTTATGACCGGGTGCAGGCCGACAACAATGATTACTGGACGGAGTGCTTCAACGCACTGGAGCAGGGCCGCCAGTATGTGGACAACCCCACAGGCGGCAAGGTGGATGAGGCCCTGGTCAGAAGCGCCACCGCACACTCGTGGCCTCACAGCAACGGTGGGTTCCCAGGGTGCATGTTGGCCTGCACATTATCTGGGTTTAAGGGCAGCTTACAGGTTTGTGTGGTTTGGTACCTCAGCCACATTTTCCACCTCACTCTTATTTTTTTTTTTTTAAAAAAAAAACAAAAACAAAAACAAAAACGTTAAGGTGAGAGCCCTCCTGATTTTAGCATCATTTCAGGCTGTGGGGAATGTGTGAACTTGAAACACTTGAGTGATTATTGGAAACTCCTCTTGTGTTAGTTTCTGGTAAGCACCTGTATGAGAATGCTGGGATTTTTGAGCATCAGAGTGCCTCAGGGTGAAGCCCTGCCGTCTGCACCCCTTTGCGTGTTGTAGCCCATTCCTTTAACACGGCCAGTTCCCAGAATATCTCGCCTGTGGAGCCTTCTTCCACCCCCAGAGTCTCCTTCCCTTGGCTCCCCAGTGCTCTGTGCCTCTCACAGCATCGATCACATTTCACCTAGAGCATGGCCATCACCAGCTCTTCGAGTGTTGGAAGCGCCAGGTGACAGGTGTTGGGCTCTGAGTGTCAGGCGATTTGTCCTTCGCTTATTCCTGCAGCATTCACAGCGTGATGTGTCCCAGGCTCACAAGGTGCCTAGTGCATAGGTCCCTGCCCTTGTGAACCTCATAACGGTGGTGAAAAATTGGCATCAGTCAGATAGACCAGAGAGTGCATCACTGCAGGTGATGAAAGTGTAGGGTAGAGGGACCTGCCTTGAGCTGGAGGTCAGGGAGGACTTCTTGGAAGAAGCAACTGCGTTTGCTCTGAAACCTCAGTGAGGAGTACAGGTGAACTGGGCAAAGAGTAGGGGACAAGGACTTGGCCCCCCCAGATGTGGCCTATGTGGTGGCTTACAGGCATGTGGCATTTGGGGCCTTCAAAGAAATGAAAGTTGATTAGGGGCCAAGAGGGGCCCAATGACAGAAATTTTGAGACATGCTAATGGCCGGGTCATTGGAAGGTTCAAAGAAGAGGTATTGGTGTCAGATTTGTTTACTTACAAGGGAAGAGACTTGCCTCTGATCATAACATTGAGTGCAGATTGGAGCATGGCAGGAATGGACTCGGGAGGTAGGTTCCTGCAGGACCTGGTATGGGGTTGGGCACTAGGGACAAGGATGTTAAGGACGCATGGGTTTGTCACCAAAATGCCTGCATTAGCTCAGAGGTGGACCTTGGAGAAAGCCCATTCTGAGGAGAATTTCTAAATTGAGTTTTAGTGGCTTAGGAAATATGTGGGGTTTCTAGGTCCTCTGAGAGACCAAGTAGACAGTGGGGGAACCTGTGTGGGCCTGACGCTTACGGGGGGTGGGGAGTTGACATGTAGAAGGATGGAAGCTGGGCTTGGACAGGACCACTGAAGAGGAACATGGGAATGAGAAGTGGACATAGGACAGAGCCTGCCTGTGTGCGGTCTGGCATGTGGAGGCCACGGAGAGGGGCCTGGGCGCGCCTCTACAGGAACCAGAGAAGCCCCAGCCAGAGAGGAGGGAGTCTTGGAAGTCACTAGAATGTTGCAAGAAAAGAGAAAGAGGTCAGCAGGCATGAGAGGGCAGCTGAGGCCTTCGGAGTGCCGTTGGGCTGTAGTGGGTCTGTTCCTATAGAGCGGTGGGCGCAGATGCCAGAGTAGGACCCATAATCCTTCTTGGGCGTGTAGGGAAGTTTATGTAAGCTGCTTAAATAATGCCGGTGTATGTTCAGTGGACAGAAGCCAGGCAAGGAAGGGCACGCATACACAGGGCAGGCAGGGGCCCTTCAGGAAGCGAGGAGTGCCTCCACCTTTATGACTGTGTAAAGTCACACCCAGTGCTTTCCTCTTAGCACGCCTTTCCTTCATGTTTCCTGAGTAAGTTCATGAGTTGAAGAAAAGGCAGTCTTTTCCCTAATGCCACATGGAAGATGAGCTGAGGGGCTTTTTTGACACGCTGATGATCTTCAGGCAGGAGAGTAATGTGTGGCTGGATCAGAAGTGTCATCTGTAGATGTGCAGCAAGTTAACTGCAGTGTCATCAGCCCCTTGTTCTGAGGTGCTGGCATTCCAAGGGGCACGAGGGCAGTGGGAGGAGGCCTGAATGCCCTGCTGTGCATGGGAATAGCGTTCCCAAGGGCTGGGCCTGCTTTTGGCCTGTGTGGGGACACAGCACCCACTCAGCTCCACAAACTGAGGAGAAACTAGAAATTAACTTAATACAGGAAATTCAGATCTGCCTATGAAACATCCTGGAACAATTTGTTCCAAAGTTAATACAATAGAAACACCCAAAACCTCTGTGGGCCACTAGTTTGCAACTTTTGGTTTGTTAAGTTAGAGACAGATCTGTCAGTGATGTAGGGATCCTGAGGGCTCTTCCTGGTGTAGTTGATAGACGAGTCTCTGATTTCTATGCAGGGCTCTTTGCTAACCAGCTGGAAGGAAAGGAAGGGCAGGGACCGATTTCCAGGACCCGGCCCTGCAGGTTCATGGTCAGCCAGCTCAGGTTGTTCTGAGTTCCCCTTGAGAAGTACATACATGGACCCGCAACCATGCACATTTGCTCCAAGCCAGGGGCCTGCTGCGAGAGGGCCCTGAGGACTGTCCAGTGCAGGCCCGGGTGACTGCTATGGGAGGGCCCTGAGGACTGTCCAGTGCAGGCCCGGGTGACTGCTATGGGAGGGCCCTGAGGACTGTCCAGTTCAGGCCCGGGTGACTGCTGTGTGAGGACCCTGAGAACTGTCCAGTGCAGACCCGGGTGACTGCTATGGGAGGGCCCTGAGGACTGTCCCAGCCATGAGCCCGTCTTGCCTGTGCTGGGACAACTTGAGCCGACACTGGCCTCCCTGATTTACGTGCCTCTGATGGCCCTGGAACCTCTTTTTCTTTGTGTTTTATTTTGGAAGGATGTATTTTGTGTTGAATTTTTTCTTTACCTTTTAGAAACTTACATAAAAGTTTCCTCTGCCCCTCCATCCCTGCATTCACACAATCAAAATGTTACTTTTAAATGAAAGTAATATAATACTTAAGACAATTTAGCTGTCCTTTTTCCTTATGAAAACCCTGAGAAATGGGTTTATATGAGGCTAAAAAAAAACCCATTACTGACTTTCTCACCTTCAAATTCTGTTGTATGGAGCGATCCATTTTGTTTTGTTGGTGATAATTTATTTCTCTCATTAGATGTGTGTCATCCCCTGGGCTCTTCCCGAACTGTAACCATGGGGCCCACAGGTGGTGGGAGAGCGGGGTGTGGGCCGACCTGCGGGTACCTAGTCCTCCCTTCTGGTCTTATGGGTGGTGGAAGAGTCCTCTCTCCTTCGGGTCTGTGGGTGGTGGGACAGCTGGGTGCGGGCAGGCTTGCGGGTGCTGAGTCCTCTCTCCTTTCCTTTGCAGTTCTGGACAGCAGCATGCTCTCCTCCCAGGACGTGGTCCGCATGCTGCTGTCTCTGCAGCCCTTCCTCCAGGACGCCATCCAGAAGAAACGCACCGGCAGGACCTGGGAGAACATCCAGCATGTGCAGGGCCCGCTCACCTGGCAGCAGTTCCACAAGATGGCAGGCCGGGGGACCTACGGTAACGCTGCCCCCTTCCTCCTCCCGCCTCCACTCACTGTGGCACACATTCGCTCGCACCACCTCTGCTTCACTGACAGAGTGCTGCTGCTTTGTCCTTGTCTGTTCAGTTTTATGAGGAGCCTTGGCAGGGCAGTGCTTAAGCACTTGGTCACTAACAGGAAGGTTGGCTGTTCAAACCTTCCAGCAACTCCTTGGTAAAGACGTGGCAGTCTTTATCCATAAAGACGGTAGTTTTTGCTCTTAAAGTGCTGCTGTGAGATGGACTCACTTTGATGGCAGAAAGCTATTATGTTTTATAATCGTCTTGTTTTTCTAAAATCACTTACAGTGTCAGCTTTTTAAATTATCCTTGGCATAGTCAAGGTCGATGGGAAGAATCCTACCTATGAGCACACTTCTCAGAGTCTTCCCCCCCGCCCCCCCCGCATCCTCATTGCATCAGGGATGGACCTGTCCCCGGTGCTGTCCCCTGCTTCCTGGCCACACTCAGAGAATGAACCCAAACCAACTCAAGTGTAGCTGACTGGAATGCTGACTTGAACGTGTCTGTTTTCTGGTTGTACCATGTTGACTCCTTTAGTGACACTTGTGTACTAAGGTCCATTTAATTAGAATATTTGGAAAATATTTCTAAAAATATCATGGGCACCTGCACTGAGATGTCTGATGCCAGAACTAGACTCTGACACTGGGAGCTGCTCAGCCGTCAAGAGAGCAGGAACGAGAGACCCTGACGCCTGCTCTCACCTTCCTTGTTGTCTTTAGGATCTGAAGAGTCTCCTGAGCCGCTGCCCATCCCCACCCTGCTGGTCGGCTGTGAAAAGGAATTGCTCACCATCTCGCCCTTCTCCTTGCCATTCTGGGAGAGGCTCTTGTTGGACCCATATGGAGGCCACCGTGATGTTGCCTATATTGTGGTGTGTCCAGAAAATGAGGCCTTGCTCGAAGGAGCCAAAACTTTCTTCAGGGACTTGAGCGCTGTATACGAGGTGAGGAAGAGGGTGTGCAGGCCATGTGTATGGTGCGAGTCCTCTGCTTGTTTCTAGTTATACCATGTTTGAAAGGACAGCTATCTTCAAAGTAGATTCCAAGGAAAATTGCAAGCAGTTATCGGATGAAAAAGAATTAACTTGGCAAGTTTTTCCTGGAACGAAATTGGTTTCCCAACTTTCTCTAATCTGACCTTAGCACACATTCCTAAATTCCATTGGCTGCTCAGAGTTTTAAACTATTGTTCTCCAGGGGGAGGTGGCTGTTTAGAAGTTGTTGAACATTACAGAAAGGCAGCTTACACATTCTCTCTCTTTCCCTTCTTGCCTTTTTTTTGGCGGGAGGGGGGGGTGTGGTTTTCCCCCCTTTTATAAGGAAGAGTTCTTAAAACTATAAAAGAGGTTTAGCTTAAAAATATCTCAATCTAGAGATAATTTCCATCATTCATGTGTCTACTTGTACTATGCTGGTGCCTTACTGTGTTGCTGGAAATAAGCCATTGGTATTTTAAATACCAGCTGGGCTGTGGCATGGTGGACAAACTAGGAAGAAAGGCCTGGTCGTTTACTTCTGGGAGAAATAGATGACCAGTGAAAGCTTTAGGAATGGCAGTGCGGCTCTGTCTTATGCAGTGCTCGAGGATGAGCCCCTCAGACTGGAAGGTACTCGGAATGCCACGAGAGCAACCGCCTCAAAGTAGAGTCCTCCTTCGTGGCTTTGGGAACTTTGCTAAGGTGCCAAGACTCAAAATGAGAAGAAGCAGCTGCAAAAGTAACAGAACATGAAATGTATGAAGTATGAATCTAGAAAAAGTGATAAATGACAAATTTATAAATAACCTCAGGATAAATGCAGTGGGAAGCATGAAGATTGATACCCTAGCCAGTGGTGGTGGTCTAGTTGGAACCAATTCATAGCCGACCCTCCCACAGATTTTCAGAGGCAATAAATCACACAGGATGAGATTTTCCATCTTTTCCCACAGAAATGAGCTGGTGGATTCAAACCATGTGCTTGTGGGTTGGCAGTGCAGCTCTTTAGCACGAAGTCACCAGAGTTCCTTATCCTAAGGATTACAGAGAGCAAATGGACTAATATCAAATAGTCATGTTTATTGTTCTGAGAGTGACAAATGAAAGAGGCATTGCAGTCGTAATAACAAGTACAATACCGTAACGATAGGTTAATATCCATAAAAGCTAAAAGGAAAACCAGTGAATAGGACTGTTAATTAAAATTTATTCACTAAGTACAAGTGGTAGAGATTAAACTGAAAATTTTTACCAACTTCTGCAGTCTGAAATTGATTAAACATGCAATCAAGATGCATTGGTAATTACTAGTGATTGGAATGCTGACGCTAGAAACTGAGATTCGTGGTTGGAAATACAACCTTGGTGATAGAAATGATGCCAAGGATCACAGGCTAGAAATTTCCTTCATAAACGTACAAGCGACTTCCTTTTCCAACAATATAAATGAACCTATACATGCAGACCTCATTGGGAGGAAAACACAGGAATCACAATGACTACATGTGTGGAGAGTGGTGATGGAGGGACTCATTGTCATTAGCCAGGACAAGGTCAGTATCAGACTCTGGGATAGACTGTGAATTGCTTCTGTGCAAGTTCAAGTTGAAGCTGAAGAAAATGAAAAGTCCATGAGAGAATCAAAGTATGATCTTGAAATTTCCCACCTAAGTTTAGAATTTAAGGAACAGATTTAATGCTTTGGACTCTAATGACGGAAATCAGAGGGACTGTGGGATGCTAGCAAGAACACCATACATGAAGAAGGCAAAAAAAGTATTGAAAAGACTAAAATGTATGTCCAAGGACTTCATTGAATGTCGATTAACTAAAGCAAATAGAAGAAACTATGAAATCAAAGTGCTGAGATGACGTCAGAGGGCAGCTTGAGGAAAATAAGTATAATGCTGAATATGCAAAGACTTGGAGTTAGAAAGCCAAAAGAAAGAAAAAAAGTTTAGGCTTAAGTTGTACTACTTCAGTATTCTGTGGGTAAAATACTGAGCATCAAAAGGAAATGGAAGAAATACACAGAACCACTGTATCGAAAAGAATTGGTCAGCGTTCAGCCATGTCGGAATATTCTCAGTTAATGTACTGAATAATAAAGCCCAAGCTTCACGGAAGGCATTGGTGACCCTGGCAGAATACCAGTTGATCTTTTTCAACAAATGGATGCAGTACTTGCACTGCAAACTTGAGTATACCAGGAAATTGGGCCAATCCGCTGGAAAGAGCCATACTTTTTTGTGCCTATTCCAAATAAGAGTGTTCCAAGAAAATGTGAAAATTATCTGACAATATCATTACTATCACATACAACTAAATTGTTACTGAAGATAAGTTTAAAAGTTTTAGTAGCCTATCAACGAGGAGCTGCCAGAAATTCAAGCCAGATTCAAGAGTATGTGGAGCAAGGAATTTCATTGCAGCTATCTGGTGGATTGGTTGAAAAAAATTATCAGGCAACTAACTTTATTGATTGTTCAACAGAATTCAACTATGTGGATCAGCAAGCTATGGAGAATGTTGTGAAGAATGGGAATTCTAGAACACTTGACTGAGCTTGTAAAGACCTTGAACATTGAGCAAGAGGCAGGCCTTACAGCTCAGCGACAAGAAAATGAATCCTCACAGCCAGACCAGTAAACACCAGCATGCTGAACAGAGACATGGAGAGTGTTGTCAAGGGTTTCATTTAATGAGCATCATGGAAATAGCAGTCAGGGGTTCTTTAAGTGCTTACAACATTCACAAACATAGTATTAAAATTACAAAAATGTGTGCTAAGTCAGATGCTATGTTTACTTTCAAAAATATTCCTGAACCAGGCATTTGCTGTCTTTATGTGAGTAAACCGTCTGAATAGTAAACTCTCTGTTGCTCCAAATTCATGAAGAGCTACAAGTGTGTGATATAGTGCTTTTAATAGATAACTAAAGCAAACCCTTGGACACTGTAGCTTAACAAGTTCCTGGTGTATCCTAATAGTAAATTATAATTAATCTTAACAGAAAACTTGAAGTAATTTTGAAAGCCCAGGCATTCCCTTGAATCAGGCTGTCCACATAGGCTACAGAACATAAAAGGACAGTGGGTCTTTGTAGAAGATGCAGGTGATCTTTTTCTCTTGAGAATTTTGTAGGATTTGGGGCGCTTTCACTTCATCAGCTCTGTTTGTTGTTGTGTGCTAGAGGTTGAGTTGGAACCTACCCATAAGCGACCCTCCAGCAGGTTTTCTGAGGCAGTAAATCACATGCACGGTTGCCCGTCTTTCTTCTGTGGAGCAGCTGGTGATTCGAACCACATACTTTTGTATACGTAACGCAGTTCCTTACTGCTAAGCCACTTGCGCTCTCTTTATCACCTCTAGTAAGGGACAGTGGGACAGCTTTTCTAGCAGATGAGATGGTAGTTAAGCAGCTTCCTTTTTGTAGGTACATTATATTCATTCTCTGTTATGTACACCCATTTAGGGTTTTAGAGATTGATAACCGAATCACACCATCCTAAAAAAACTATTTATTTTAAAAAGATAGCCAAATGCTCCATGCTTCACCAGCCTTGTTACTAGGCTCTCCAAATGTCTGCATCAGCGGAGCAGATGGCCCATACAAATTTAATGTGATCTTATGGGGAGACATTCAGAGGAGGGATGACTTAGGTGCTTGTAGTGGACATATGTCTGTCAGCCTTGATTGGCCTAAATCTGGTTACTTCTTTATGCTCAGCAGTCACCCAGCATGCTGGAGGCATAGGTTTGAGTGAAGTCACGCCTAGTTTCTTTCCTTCCTCGCCCCCTACCCCCTTCTTTCTTTCTTTTTCTTTTTTAAGAGCTTGGTCCAGGTTTTAGAGAGATAGCATCTTCAGGGCCTGGTATGGCTGTCTGACAGGTCGGCTTACCGTGGTGGAGTTACCATCCACCCTGGGTGCTGGTCTTGCCTGATGGGTAAAGAAGGAGATGCATGCCTGTGTCCATGGTTAAGCCTCCCTCGCTGAGCATATGTGCTGCACGGAGGAGAGGTGCCAGGGCCTGATCATCTCTTCTGTCTCAGATGTGTAGGCTGGGGCAGCACAAGCCCATCTGCAAAGTGCTGCGTGACGGGATCATGCGTGTGGGGAAGAGTGTGGCACAGAAGCTGACGGACGAGCTCGTGAGCGAGTGGTTCAGCCAGCCCTGGGGCAGCGAGGAGAACGACAATCATTCCAGACTCAAACTGTATGCGCAAGTTTGCCGCCATCACCTAGGTAATGGAGCTCCCCAGCCAGTGCAGAGAGAGGCCGGCGAGAACTCCTGCTCTCCTGCCTGCCCGCGAGGGCGGGTGCATGTTAGGGCGCTGTGCTCTCCAGCAGTGCTGACATTCTGCAGCTGCGCTTCTTTGTTTTTTGAAGTTCAGTTTCTGTGTGCTGAGTAGTCACCATGTGAACATGATTCATTCTTGAAAAGCTGCTTAAAATTGTCTAGAGGCCAGCTCTAGATAACTTTAAATACTTAGCATATAATGTGATATTAACCTTAATTTTAACCTGAATTCCTACGAGAACTTTCTAAGTTCACAGAGCCACTCCCCAAGGAGCAGCCTGCATCATGGTGGCTGTGGTGATACATGGCCCCTCAGTGTTCGCTGAAAGCATATGGAATATTTCAGAAAGGAGAGGGTTGCGAATGATTCAGTCTTTTAAACAGAATTCTTTCCAGAATTTAGCATAAACAGTTCCATGTTCATTTCTGCACTTGCATAATAAATAGCTTACTTGTTGAGCTGTCTAGCGTTTTGAGTGATTGACATCATCCAGTCTTGCAGCCTGAAAGCGTTTTTTTAAGCTATCATTCCAAGAGTACGAACCTAACATCCTCTTTGCATGTCCTCTTTCAGCACCTTATTTAGCCACTCTGCAGCTTGATAGCAGCCTGTTGATACCACCTAAATACCAGGCCCCACCAGCAGCCGTACAGGGACAAGCTACACCAGGGAATGCTGGGCCTTTGGCTTCAAATTCAGGCTCAGCAGCACCCCCTGCTGGCAATGCATTCAATCCCACCTCCAACGGCAGTTCCTCAAACACGGCCGCAGGTTCGGCCCCTGGCTCCTCGGTGCCCCCGGTCTCTGCATCGTCCTCTGCTCCAGGCCTCAGCCAGATCAGCACTACCTCTTCTTCCGGATTCACCGGTAGTGTTGGAGTGCAGAACCCTGGCACGGGGGTCTCTGCAGATAGAAGCCAAGCAAACATCGGCTGCAGTGGAGACGCTGAGCCCGGGCAGAGCTCCTCTCAGTCCTCGCAGGATGGACAGGAAAGGTACGCACCTCATGGACAGATCCAGGCGTGTGTCTGTGGTCCTTGCCCTCCTGCCTGTGATGCATCAGTCTGTGAATCTATGGAAGAGATCAACTTTTCTTCCTTTTAAGAAATGGGAGTGTTTGGTGTGACGCATTACTGTAAGCATCCATGTAGTGTACAGCAGACAGGAGAAAGAAGGCGGAAGAGCCCCTCAGGAGGGGAGACTGTATGGTCTCCTCTACAGGCCCATACTAGGACCTGTCCTGGGTGCGGTAGGGTCCGTCCGGGGCGCGGTAGGGTCTGTCCGGGGTGCGGTAGGGTCCATCCTGGGTGCTGTAGCATCCGTCCTGGGTGCTGGCTGCGTCCTGGGTGCACCAGCTCAGTTTGCCTTCATTTAGGTAATCTGATACATGTTAGTGTTCCATTTAATATACAGTCACTGCCCGTGCTCTAGGATTGATTTCTTTTTAGGATTTTTGAATTTTGTGCCTCTCATATGCACCTCTCTCTGCAGTGTTACTGAAAGGGAGAGAATAGGAATCCCCACAGAGCCCGACTCTGCCGACAGCCAAGCCTACCCGCCCGCCGTGGTCATCTATATGGTGGACCCGTTCACATACACGGCCGAAGAGGACTCCACTTCTGGCAACTTCTGGTTGCTGAGCTTGATGCGCTGCTACACAGAGATGCTGGATCATTTGCCCGAGCATATGAGGAACTCTTTCATTCTCCAGGTAACCCTTTATGTTCCTTCTTTATTTTGGTGGTTGTTTTAATATAAATAAAGCATTGTGATTAACATTTTTAGAAGTCAGGGGAAGCACAGAATTCTGCCTTCCAGATCGTACTGTCATCCTTAGATGGTTTCTGCTGGCTTTGCGTTCATTTAAAATCACAGTGTAAATCTTGGTATAATCAGCAGTCTCTTCTAACAGCATTCATGAACACTTCTCCATGTTCCTGTAAACCCTCAGTGCTCGAACATCAGCATTCCCCCATATAGAGCTCTTCCTACAGTTACTTACTTTGCTTCTATCTTGTCACTATTGTAAATAAAGTTACAGTATCAGTCCTTTGAAGCTTTTACATTTCAGTTCTTCAGTGAATTCTTCTCTGTAGATACTGATAACTGCCACTCGACTGCTTTCTAGAAAGCGGCTCTGCTCATTGCCGTTCTCCTCACCAGCGAGTGGGCATCCGCTTTCACTGCACCTTTGCCAGTTTTCTGGTGTCATAATTTCAAAAAGTATTTCACGATTTCACAGGTGAAAGATATTTGTAGTGCTTGCTTCATTTATTGTCACCTTAATGAAACTATCTTTTAGAATGAGAAGATTGAAATTACAGGTGTCCTAGACATTCAGGTAGTAACCCCAGAGATGGCCCGCACAGTATAAACTCATTATGAAAATGAGAACTGCACTCCAGTACAAGTTGTTCACAATCGAGGTCATAGAAACATGAGACTGCTAACTCTTTGCTCAGATGAGAACAGGACAATTTCTAAATGACAGTGTAGCTCAGGCCAGGGAGGTGTTCAGGTGAACTGTATTGTGCTTGGCGGGCACTTAAGTTTAAGTAAAGATCTGTGCCACCTCACTGCTCATTTTCTTTTCATTGCACCAGAACAGTTGCTAGTGGTGTTTGTGTTGCAGATTGTGCCTTGCCAGTACATGCTGCAGACAATGAAGGATGAACAAGTCTTCTACATTCAGTACTTGAAGTCCATGGCGTTTTCCGTGTACTGCCAGTGCAGGCGGCCTCTGCCCACACAGATCCACATCAAGTCCCTCACGGGGTTTGGGCCTGCAGCCAGCATCGAGATGACCCTCAAAAACCCAGAGGTGGGTAACCGGCAGGGCCCACAAAATGGGCCAAGAGCCCATGAGCGGGGCTTTTCCAGTTGAATCCTGAGGTAGGTCGGTTGGTGTTCGGCCGCAGAGTTGGCAGGCGTCCTCAAGTCTTAACGTGTGCTGCTCTTATGTGTCGGCCAGTCGGAACTGACTCGTAGCTGACTGTCTAGTCACCTGGATTTACAGAGGCTGTAAATTGCACAGAAAATTGCCTTTTCTCCTGCAGAGCAGCTAGTGGATTCTAATTGCCTGCCTGAATTTAGATTGACAGGGCAACTGATTACCCACCAGGCCACTGGAGCTCCCGTAAATTAACACAGAAATGATTTTCTCAACTTTGAAATTCTTTTTTAAATGAGACAAGCATATTTTTCTGCCAGCAGTGTACATACCATTTTTAATTACTAGTATTTTACTTGCTCTAATTTACTTTGTTGGTTTTTCAAACAAATCTGTCTTATTAGGAGCCCTAATAGTGCATAGTGGAGTAAGTGGTAGAGCGCTAACTGAAAAGGTGGGTGGTTTGATCCACTAGCCTCTCGTCTGCTTCCATGAAGATTCCCTCCTTGGGAACTGTTTGCAGCGTCACTGAGCTGAAACCCCTGGGCTTGGTTTGAGCTCCGTGCTATGTCCTGACTCACTGCCTCCCTGCCCTCCGGCTGCTCAGCCCTCTGCCTCTGTGCTCCTGGCACCATCAGCAGGCTCCATCACTTTCTGTGCAGCCCCCACGGGGACTCCTCCATCTGCATGTGTCTGCCTAGAAATTAGAGCTCGCTCTTGTGCTTTCTCCTTGTCTGTTTACATGTAAACTCGCTTCCCATAGATCCATACCTCTAGGGGAATTTTGAAATGCCAAAGTAAAATACAATTCTTAATAAAAGCAAATGTACACTTTCTTTTATTGATCATCTTTATTGAGAGCATGCATGCAAGCCAATGTTCAGAAATTTCGGAGCCCTCACAACACTGTTCCAATAATTTTATTACTTCGTTGAGTGGAAAACTATCCATTAATGAAAGCTGGCAAATAGCTGTCTATGAGCGAAGCCTCATGGTGGTTTGAGTTGGTAAAGGAAGCTTTTCTGGGGCCTCTGCAGTGGTTACCCGGTGAGGGAGGAAAGCTCGGCTGGGGGGTGCAGTGGTTAGTAGTGCCTTCGCAGGGACACGGTGCAGGTCATTGTGGTCCCAGGAGAGAAGCTTTGAGGAGCTCTGACCTACATGCACTCTGAGGATTAGAGAAAATTCTATCTCGTCAGTTTGAGGTTAGTTTTGCCCTTCGAGTTTAAATTTTCTCCTTTTGTGAGCAGTTTGTTTTCTCTACTAGCCTTCTCCCGAATGTAGAAAATACATTTGTCTCTGCCTATTTTCCTTATCTTGTGTCCAGAAACCCCGAATCACTGCCTTGCTTTGCAAACTTGGAGCCCTGTGGTTATCAGCGTCCTGGGGTTAGAGCGCGTTCAGACCCAGTCAGTCCTTGATGTTTGGGTGGGAAAAGTTTCCTATGATAACTGATAATATGAAGCAGAGATTAAAGATTAAAGGCTAATGGCCTGCTCCCGGGATGTCCCAGAGTACGAGGGTATAACAGAAATGATAAGAACCTGCCAAAGCATCATCAGAAAATCATAAGTTAGGTGAGGCTTATATTCAAATAAATGGCAGAGACTTGAAGGAATAGACACGTACACCCCACCTTACCCTCCCTCATTCCCTTTGGAAAAAGGGTATAAGTTTATTTTATGAGAAACAGAAGAGCCACATGTTGGAAATATGTGTGTCAAGGAGGGGGTCGGGTGGGATGTTTTTCTCTCACCTGCCCCAGAGCACACTGCGCTTGTTAACACAGCCCAGTGCTGTCATGGGTGCTGACGGGATAGTAAGGAACACAGCCTGTCAGCTTCCAGGGAATCTTCATTCTCCAGGGTGGTGCAGACTATTACATGACAAACAGTGTGTCTTCACTTGATGAGTCAAGCTTTAGAAGCAGCCCTACTGCTTGCATCACTTTTGCTTTTCATAGAATATGTAGCATCTGAAAAATAGTTTGGGAAGTAATGATTGATTGCTGGCTCTCTACTGGGTCTAAGGGAGTCAGCTTTGCAGCGTGTTTAACGCCAGCCGAGAGTGCTCCAGGGATAACATTCCATTCCCTGGCAGCCTGTTCAGGTGTGCAGGGCAGGTGTGCAGTGTGCCCACAGGTCTGTGCTGCCATCACCATTATCTCATTTTAGAGCAGTGGCCCAGAAGGGTACCCCATTCCAGCAGCAGCCACTCTTCTTGTCCCTACCCCGCCTCCAGGCCCTGGCAGCTCTCATCTACTTGTCTGCATTGGCCAGCGCTGACCACTTCCTGTGAACAGTCATGCGGGGAAGCCTGTTCTTCAGGGTCCAGCTGCTTTCACGTAGCACCTGGGTTTAGGGTTCTCTCATGCAGCAGGCATCAGCACCCCATTTGGTTTCATGACTCATACACCAGGCACGATGTGCACTAACCCTTCCTGTTCAGCATGATTGGGCATCTGGATGTCCCCACTGGTTGGCCCGTAGGAATAATGCGCCTGTGAGTGTTGGTGCACTAGTGTCTGTGCGGCTCTAAGTTTTCAGTTCTTTTATCCTAAGAGCGGGCATGCTGGTTTGTGTGGAAGGTCAGCTGATTAACAGCTCTGGGACTTTTAGCAAGTCTTTTAAGTCTCCGAACCAGGGCTCTGTGCCTCTAAACTGGAAAGATTAGATCACGTTAGACACAAGGTCGCCTGTAGTATTGTTAGGTGACACCTGTTTCAGCTGAGACAGAGCCTGTTAGAATACAGCAAAGTCCTTCCTAATCCTGGCCATAATTTGGTGACTTCTGTGCTCTATGCTGGGTCGCCAGGTATGACTGTGGCCTAGAACAGCCTGAAGCCAAGATTTGTACAGTGAGCAGACTAGGAAAAATATGCAAGAAACCCACAAAGTCAAACACATTTACTATCTGGCCCTTTACAGAAAGGGTGCTGACCCCACTCCGTGCTTTAGTAAAAGTTTAAATATGTTTGGGAGCGAGGAAAAAACTGACAATTAAATCTGTTCCAGTCTGTTTAAAATGGGTCTTAGCTAAGTCATAACCAGTATTCTGATTTTTTTAAATCGTGTGTGTGTGTGTCTGTCTCCGTCCTTAGAAACCAAAGCAAACTGTCATAGAGCCCATCCTGACTCCTCACGACCCTGTCACTTTCCAGACCGTCTCCAAGGCAGGAGACCACGTGGCTTTCTCAACAAGCGTTGAACTGGTAGATTCAAACTGTTGGCCTTTGGTCAGCATTCTGACACAGCTAGGACTCTGCGTGTGTAAGTGCGCGTGTACATATATGGGTGTGTGTAAATGCACATGTATGTATGCATACTGAAAAGAAGAGCATGGTGAGTTTTCAGTAAGTAATATTACCACATAGACAGCATCAGAAATCAAAGCAGTCTATGCCCCTTAGTCACGTTAGCAGTCCCGCCCTCACTTCTCCCACGGCTGTGCTGTTCCTGAACTTTCTGTAACCAGACCATGTTGTTTGCTCTGTCCTGTGTCCAGTGTCTGGCTCTGAGCTTTGAAATGCCTCCATCTTCTGGCTTGTAGTCCATCTGTTGGCCGCGTACTATTCTCTCTGTACCAGGATATACCCTCCACGTGACAGTAGTAAAGTCAGTATTGGCGTCACGTCTAGTGGGGAGCCCCTGTCGTACCGTGGCATCCCTTCTCGGCCTGGCCCTGTTAGCAGAGGCCCTGCATAGCTCAGCTTTGGCACTGTTGCCAAGCACTTTTCTAGCGGGGTCGTGCCAGGCACACTTCCTTAGCATGTGTGCATGTGCCAGGGGCGCCTTGTTCTCTGCAGGACTCTGTGTTTCCCGCTTTTCTAAACTTAGCACTCTGGATGCCTAGTCCCATCTCATTGCGGCTTTCATTACGTTTTCCCAGTGACCAATGAAAGAGGGAGTCAATGAGTCAGCCTAGTGGTAAGGAAAGAGCTGTGTTGTCATGCACAACAATGCAGTGTGGCTCATTTACGTTCTAAAATCAGGAAGGAAGTAATTAAGTTCATAAGGTTCTCTGGCTTCTGTCATTTAAACAGTGGTGACATTCTTGCTTTTATTCCACAGATACAGGATTGATTGATTGAGTGTATGTGTCCACATACATACACAGGTTGTTATGTGCTCTTGAGTCAGAACCAACTCATAGTTGACCCTCCAGTATATTTTCAGAGAACTGCCTGAACTAAACTGGCCAGTTTCAGGGAACTGTCCATCTTTCTGCCTCAGAGCAGCTGGTGGATTCGCACAACCCTGCACCTGTGGGTCAACAGCGCATGCACACATACAAATAAACTGGAGGTTGAGGGGAGGGAGAAGCAGTCTGTACTGGCTGTCTGGTTGATGACTTTGTGTTGACACTGATTTTTCACTTTGTTTTCAGCGGCCCAGCCCCATCCAGCTTTACTCCCCTCCTTTTATACTGGCCCCAATCAAAGACAAGCAGACAGAGCTGGGCGAGACGTTAAGCGAGCCGAACCAGAAATACAACGTGCTCTTTGTGGGCTACTGTCTGTCCCATGACCAGCGCTGGCTTCTAGCTTCCTGCACTGACCTGCACGGGGAGCTGCTGGAGACCTGCATTGTGAATATCGCTCTGCCTAACAGGTGCGGAGCTTCCCCCAGGTGGGAGCAGTGGGGCCAGTGCTGTGGGTCAGCAGGAGCTGTTTTTTCAGGTACTAACATGGGCCCCTCTGGGGTTCCCTGCTCGATTTCTTTCTCCTGTAGATCTCGGAGGAGCAAAGTGTCAGCACGGAAAATTGGACTACAGAAGCTCTGGGAGTGGTGCATTGGGATTGTTCAAATGACGTCTCTGCCCTGGAGAGTTGTGATCGGCCGGCTTGGGCGGCTGGGCCACGGGGAGCTTAAAGGTGAGAGACTTGGGGAGCAGGTGGTGCAGAAGGGGAGGCTGCGCTGATCCGGCCAGGAAACACAGGCAGGGGAGTCAAGGCCATGATGTTCTGATGCTTCTCTGTGGGTGCCGCTGACTGGTTCTTTCCGGTTTTAACCCCCTCCCCAGGATTTGCCTTTCCACCTCAGGCTGATGCAGGTCCAGTATCCACAGTCTCCTGTCCCACAGTCCACGTTTTATCAAGGTTCCCACCCTTAGTGATTTCCAGCCTTTTCTTCTCTAACAAAAGAAAGAAGTGGAGGTTTTTTCCTGTTTACTCAAATAGTCTTAAATGTTGAACCCCAACATAAAAAGTGTTTTATAACATAAAATCCTCCATAAGATGACGTTTCTAACGTTTTATATATTCAGTCAGTAGGAACAGGTTTAAGCACAGAAACTTTGACTCAGACATAGGTGCTGGTTACAGACAGACCTGAATTTCTTCCCTGTGTTTTGGTTTCTGGGAGTTGGTAGGGTTGGGATTGGCCGGGCGGCACCTGCAGATAGATTTCCCACCTGCCACCGCTTGATGTGCAGTGTGAACGCTTGAGCGGGAGGGGTCTTTCTTGCTGGGTTGAATTCCCAGTGGTCTCTCTCACCTTTTTATAGTCCTTATCATAGCAGACAGGCCGCTGGGACAGCTGTGGGCCGTCCTGGAATCCCACCAGCTCACTGTCCTCATGGTGGGCTGTGGGGACTGTGTGCCACCAGCAGTGTCCACAAGCCCAGGGTACACATATAGTTGGCCATTTTCTGCAAGGCCGTACTGAAACAAGGCTGATGTCTGCCTGAGTGCACACGTCTGTGAGACCAGGTGATGGGTCACTGCTGCAGCCACTCAGCGCATCTGGGGCCTGTGTTCCAGCAGAACCATGTATAGAAACGGGGTGTCTCTGGGCCGCAGTTTATGCACCCCTCATGAGAAATTGCACACTTTATGAGAAATTCTTACTGGAGATTTTGGAACCTCGGACATGACTAAGGAGCCCAGGTGGTGCAGTGGGTTACATGGGGAGGCTACCTCCCACCTGCTCCTGGGAAAGCACGAGGTCGTGAGTCAACTGACGCAGAGCTTTGCAGCCCGGGAGCCCTCGGGTCAGCTCACTCCTGTCCTACTCGGTCATTGGGAGTCAGTTTGTTAGCAGTGGGTTTGGTTTGGGGGTTTTTTACTCACTTGTGTTTTTCTGTGAGATGGTTTATATAGATAAAAATTCAGTTATGCCACCTGAGTGACATGTTTTTAAGGGCTTGTTAAGAGTTTACAGTATTAAATACTGGATATTAAATACGTGTTTTCTTAGGTATCTGTCAGAACACATTCCCTCCCCTCCCCCCCCCATTTTCTTTAATAGTTGTGTAGACCAATGGAAACTCAGTTTTTGTCAGAACATCACACTGAAAAATGAACCTTGTGTCCGCAGCCTGGAGGTCGGACGTTTGGGGAGCGCTCATTTCATTTCTGTCACCGTTCCTCTCTTACTCCCAGTCTGTTTTTGAGTCAGTCTTCTTTCTGAAAGTCTCTGGGCAATTCCTAACCTTTGGGAGACCACCCTCCTGGGTGGGTGCATTCCTGCCTCTTAGGGGAGGCGTGGTTGGAGAGGAGAAAGTGTGCTGGGGAGTGGGGTATATTGGACCCTGGGTTCAAGTCCTGCCTGATCTTTATTTCCATGATATGTGTAATGAGATACTCTGCCTTTTCCCGCCTCATTTGGTTTGAAATGTGGTACTCACTTCTTGCAGGGTTTTTTGATGGTCTATAAACATGTCCTTCATATTTCTGGAGTGGCAGTCCACGGTGGGAAGGGTCCTGCCTGCTGCTCCCTGCCTCAGGAATCCCACAGAAATCAGAAGAGCTGGGCCCCGCGCTGGTGGCCCCTGTAGTACCCCCAGTGGGGCAGTCCCCTCCCCGTGACTGAGCACTTTCTAGAATGCGCACTGTGTTCTGCCTGCAAGGTAGAATCAGCTCGGAACAAACGTGAGGCCAGCCCCAAATGTGCCCCTGGGGCAGCGGGAGCAGGAGCCGACCTGAGGACAAGCTGATGGGGAGGAGTGACCAGTTGCACCACGTGGTCGGCAGAGGTGTGTTAGTGCCTGCTGGGCTCTGCCTGGTCCCTGCAGTCGAGTCACAGAGCAGGAGGCCTTGCCTGTTTTATTAACGAGGTGTACTGGCACTTCCAGCAGAGGGGGGCCCGACATGGGAGGTGCCACTGCCAGGTAAAATGCACCTCCGGGTGCATTTCTGAAGACCATGTGTGACCCTGATGTTTGGTTTCAGATTGGAGTATCCTGCTTGGAGAATGTTCACTGCAGACAATCAGCAAACAGCTCAAGGATGTGTGCCGGATGTGTGGCATCTCGGCCGCAGACTCTCCTTCGATCCTTAGTGCCTGCCTGGTTGCCATGGAGCCGCAGGGCTCCTTTGTTGTCATGCCAGGTAGGCCTCCTCGTGAGCACAGCATCACGTGGGTGTGCCCTGCGGGTGGGGGGAGGGGCATGCCATGGTTACACCCTATGTCTTTATTAATCTTCCAAAGAGAGTGATTTATGAATTTAGGACCCCTGTGGATCATAATTGGGAGACAGAAATGGGGAGTTCTGGGTATCTCTGAACTCAGCCACTGGAGGACTCCCTCTTGGTGTCTGAAGCTCAAGGATAGTTGGGGTGGTGGTGGGGCTGGAGGGTTAGTAGGGCTACAGCCTGAGCAGAGCCTGGCGTGTGCGTAGACAGTCAGAACCCTGTGGGCATGGAGTTTTCAAATTGATTTAAAAACCAGCAGCTCAGCAATTTTATGACTTTATAAACTAAGCTGTCAGTCTGGAGACTTAAGGTGTGCCTGATCCAGGCCATGGTCTTTGCAATTACTTGCTACACCTCGGAGAGCTGGACTATGACTAGAGATGATAGGAGAATTGCTACGTTTGAGCTGTGGTGTTGGAGAAGAGTATTGAATAGACCATGGACTGCTAGGAGAACAAACAAGTTCATCCTGGAGAGGGTGAAGCCAGGCTGCTCCTTGGAGGCAAGGATGCTGAAGCTTCGTCTGATATACTTTGGACATGCTGTAAGGAGGCACCAGCCCTTGGAGAGGGACATCACAGGAGAGGAAGACCCTCAAAGAGATGGATTGATTCAGTGACTGAGGTAACGGGGGTGGGTGTGTCAAGAGACAATTAAGATAGGTTCAGCCCCAATCACTGAGCCACCGCCAAGGACTCAGCTGTCTCCCCCTCGCTTCCGGACGCTCCGTCCCTCCTGCCTGCCTTCCGCAGGCCGTTTCTACCAAGGAAAAGGAATCCTATCGTATGTCTGCTATCCAGAACCTCCACTCTTCTGACCCCTTTGCTGATGCAAATAAGGGTGATGACCTGCTTCCTGCTGGGAATGAGGATTATATCCATTTACTAATTCAACAGAGAAATGGCAGGAAGACCCTTAGAACTGTCCAAGGGATCACTGCTGATTACGTTAAAAAGAAACTAGTGAAGGCGTTTAAGAAGTTTGCCTGCAATGGTACTGTAGTTGAGCATCCAGAATATGGAGAAGTAATTCAGCTACAAGGTGTCCAAAGCAAGAACATATGCCAGTTCCTTGTAGAGATTGGACTGGCTGAGGACAACCAGCTAAAGGCTCATGGGCTCACTGAAGCTTACGTGAGGATTTCCTTGCAATGAGTAGAAAATTTCCCTTCTGTCCCTTGTCACAAGTTTAAACCTTCATAGCTTGTATAATATAGCCATTTGGGGTCCACTTTTAACTTGGACTAGTGTGATACTTTCATGCAATAAACTGGAAAGAACCATAAAAAAAAGATTGGCTCAGGACAGAGCAGGGTTTAAGACTGTTGTACGTAGGGTCGCTGTGAGTCGCAGGTGACAGGACAGCACATAATAATAACCAGAACCACCACTCCTTTTACCATTCAGACATTTCATTGATTAGACGGGAGGCCGTTTCACACTCCCCTGCTAGAAGTCAGGTGCAACGGTGTGGACGTGAGGTCACTCATCAGCCCAGTGGGAGGTGGATGGCTTACACTGGTCACCACAGTCTTCAGTGTGCACCTCCCCCCCCCCCGCATTTGTTATCGTCCACTAGGGGGCAGCAGTCCTGCTGTGATGATGTGGGAGATGATGCGGGTCACGTGTATAGAGGTTTGGGCCTAGAATAAACAGTTCTTAATACCTAGTCTACAAGATACAGAGTTGTGTTCCCAAGGCCAGAAAGATTGACAGACTCCGACCAGGAGTGGGAGCGGTTCTGTAGGACGTGCTTTTATGCGGGAGTGTTCACATCCCGAGGACCTCATTCCTGGAGACAGTGCTTGTGTGAGAAGGAAAACAATGCTGGTGGACTTGATGCAGCTTGGTTGTTCCCGTTCGAGTGAGGCTTGGCTGTCATAGCTCCATGCACTGAGTCAGCTTCTGTGAAGATGTTTAAATAATTTGACTCAACATAGTATCTGCTACGCGATTGTCAGGTGCCATGACCCAAGGACCTCTTAAAACGTTCTTTCAGAGTATCTGCTGCTGGTAAGGGGGGGTTCATGAGTACCTTTTATCTCCTTAAGATGCTGTCACAATGGGCTCTGTCTTTGGCCGAAGCACCGCCCTGAACATGCAGTCGTCACAGCTCAACACGCCCCAGGACGCGTCCTGCACACACATCTTGGTGTTCCCGACGTCCTCCACCATCCAGGTGGCTCCGGCCAACTATCCCAATGAGGACGGGTTCAGCCCCAACAACGGTGAGTGGAGGCTGTGCGGGGGAGTGTAGTCACTGGCCACTTTGGGTGTCCTTCTGAATGAGGGGGTGCCGGACGGCGGGGCAAGTTTTGTGGTGTGAAAATTTGTGTGAACGTATGTCAGCAAGTCATTGGAAATCTCACTTCCTGTAACACCACTGGTTGATCGTCCTTAATGGACTTGGTGGGGCTTGAATATCTGTACACCATTTAAAAAATAATAATTAAAAAAAGGTTATTTATAAACTACATCATGAAACATTATGCAGTCACTTAATTACTTTTTAAAAATTTTTGATAACTACCATATTTTCATAATGGGGAGGGAGAAAGGATATAAGAATATATACACAGTATGTTCCCAACAAAACGATGTGTGCACGAGGGCAGATCTGTTGATGGCCCCAGGGAGACACTTCCTCCTCTTCCTGTTTTCTCTGTCCACTTTCTGTGCTGTGCACACATCACCGGCTCCGGGGGGGACAGGGGTTCTTAAGGCGAACCCTGTGCTCGTGCACACTCAGGATCTGCCTCTGTGTCGCTCTCCAGGAGGATGTGAGGGGTTCACTGGGACACAGAAATGTCTTGTTTCCTCGGACATTGCTAACTTCAATAATAATAAATTCCATTCCATTTTAGCGGTAGAATTGCCTCGTAAGGCTTTGGTGCCCCGGAGGCTGTCCAGAGTGGGGGTTGTACTGTGGTCTTTCTTGGTCCTCTTAACCCTGCCCTTAGGGCGCTGGGCACAGAATGCGGACCTCGCACCCAGTGAACTTGGTGAAGGTGTTCACGTGTGAGCTGCCAGCCTGGGAGGAGCTTTTTCATGCTGATGCTGGTGTTTTTCTCTCTTCCTCCAGATGATATGTTTGTTGACCTTCCGTTCCCAGATGACATGGACAATGATATTGGCATATTAATGACTGGGAACCTCCACTCACCTCCTAATTCCTCCCCAGTCCCCTCCCCGGGCTCTCCTGGAATTGGCGTGGGCTCTCATTTCCAGCACAGTCGGGTAAGGATGACCACAGCAGGCTCTCCTCACGAGGAGGTCCTTCCAGGGCCAGTCTCCCTTTGCTCTGTCCTCCTGGCTGCTTGGGGCTCAGGTCTTGGACAAGAGAAATAAGGGGTCAGTGATTATCTAGGCTTTCCCTTTTGAATTGAAGGTAGGCGTTGGAATGGCATGTTGTTTTACTGGTGGATACAGTTTGTCAGGGAAAGAAATTGTTCTCTCGTAGCTGCCCAAGTTTTGTGTGGTGGCCGGTTTCCTCCGTGAAAGGCAGTTTGAGGTGCTGGCGGTTTTGCAGTGACTTTTTACAGATGGTGGCTTTGAGTGGCCAGCCCTGCTCTGTCCACCCAGGAATGCACTGTGTGTCCGTACAGCCCGCTGCTGTCCTCCGCACAACCCGCATCCTCTCTGTGGCCGGCCTGGAGGATAGCAGGAGGCTGATTGCAGAGAAATGCCAGGTCAGTGCCAGAGCGGGGCAGGAGGGTCAGCGTCTACACCAGGCTCACCGGTAAGTGTTCCAGGGAACTTGGATCACAGTGGTTTGGCCCGTCTGTGCAAACATTGTTCCGATACTGCCCGAGTCATCCTCACTGCACCGGCCTCCTCTCTGCTCACACCCATTAGACACAAGCATGTACCGAGGGCTTCAGCTGCCGCCAGGTGGGACAAGGTTGAAAGCTCTGTCCAGCCACAGGGCTGCAGAGACGGTGACTGGCCGCGGGGGCTGTCCTCCTGTTCTTGCCCCATCCCTCCCCATCTCACTGCTGGTTGGTTTGCTGGAGACTGTTGGCACTTTCCAGGGGGTGGTTTTCATTGAGGATTAATGGGCCCTGGCGGCCTCTGCAGCTGTGAGCTCAACAAGCTGGCTTTGCCTTTCTCAGGAAGAGTCGTGCAGTCCAGTTTGTCCACTCACAATTGGAGTGTGGTAGAATGGAGGGAACAGAGGTGGCTGTTGACTGCTCTCAGAGGCTCAAGCCTCGAAGTCTTTTCATGGGTGTCTCTGTTTACGTGGTGTTCACAGTCAGGTGGCCGTGGGCAGTTTTCAGCACTCCCTTTTTCTGAACCTTTGGACGGTCTTTGATAGATGATTAAGATACTGCAATAGGATTCAAGGTTGGAGTAAAATGTAACAGTTCAGTACACAGCTTGGAGTAGTTGAGGATTATTGTTTTGATTTTCCAAACTGGTGACTTCCTGTTGCCCACATCATTAGTACATTTTCAGCTCTGAAGCTAGAAGGTGGAGAAATAGCCAGTGTGGACCCTCCAGTACAGCGTGGCTCTGACAGGGGCAAATGGTGCGTGCTAGGGGGCAGCCAGGAGTACCCGTCCACGTTTCCAAATGTGGAGGGACAATCACTTGTCAGAGCTCGCACGCTCCCATCTTCAGTTGGTTACCTGATAATGTTGAACAGATTTTACATTCTACCAGAAAATAAGCCCGAGTAAATCATTTGCTCCTGAGGTGCTGTCTGCTGTTCTGTGCCTTGTCCTTGGCGGCCACCTGGCTTTTCTGTACAAGAGCTGCCAGAAAGGGGATTAGATGCCACAGTGCACAGGGGGAGCTGCTAAAAGTGGATTTTGAGAGCTTTATTTGAAGTGATAAACGCTGACTGTGTGTTGGGGACTTTGTTTTTCAGAGCCAGGGCGAGCGACTCCTCTCCCGAGAGGCTCCCGAAGAGCTCAAGCAGCAGCCGTTGGCCCTCGGGTATTTCGTGTCGACTGCCAAAGCCGAGAACCTGCCCCAGTGGTTCTGGTCATCGTGTCCCCAGGCCCAGAATCAGTGCCCCCTCTTCCTCAAGGTGGGTGCGGTGCTCAGCTGAGGGGCCAGCAGGTGACCACAGGGTAGGCCTATGGCTCTCGAGAATGGCCCCTGTGTCTTCCTTAAAACCTTTTCATCCAAAGTAAGGGTTAAAAACAAAAGATCTTATATCCAGCTCAGGTGGATGAAACCCGTCTTACATGACATGAGCAAAGTCCTGGGCAGGCTGGGAAGTCATGTCCATCTCCTCCAGGAGAGACTGGCTGCGTACACTGTGGTCACCACACAGCAGAGCGTCCACTGCCCCTAGACAGAGAGAAGTGTTAGAGGCCGAGATGCACACACCTGGGGCTCCAGTTTGTAAAAAGCATTAACAAAAGGTGAAACCAAAAACTAATGAAATAGTTTTCTTTTCCCAATGACTTTAAGTTAGCATTAGGCTATCAAGCAAGTTACATAAGTCTGGGTTCTGTATTTTTTTAGTTATTTAGCGTCGAGGACTCTCCTTCATAGGGTCGCTGTGAGTTGCCTGCAACTCGATGGCACTTAACCACAACAACAGTTCTATTCATTTTTAGAGGGAAATTACAGGAATTTTCTAAGCTGTGGAGCATGCAAATTCTGACTGAATGTTGGGGATTGAGTGGTTGTGACACTTACCATGGGACAACCAGATGTAAGGATACAGTGCCTCCCACCTGCTCCTGCCCTAAGTGGGACGTGACCCTACAGAACTGCAGACAGGTATCTGAGCAGCTCCCACCAAGGCCGCCCTATCAGCCATGGTTGCAGACCAAATGTGAGAGGACGTTTTTTACAAGATCCAGGAACATATATTGGTTATTTGAGGACACTTAGGAGTCATCGTTAATTTTCATTGGTTTGGTAATCACATCATTGTTTTTGAAAGTCTTATTTGTTAAAGATTATCTGCTGAATTATTTTCTGGCAAAATGCTAATTTATCCAACTTTTGCTTTGTAATGATTTAGCAAACAGAAAGTCAGATGAATGATGATAATTGTTGGAGCTTAGTGATAGAGGTACATGGCATTACATTCTATATGATGTGCTGGACTGTCTCCATAGAAAAAGAAAGGAAAAACAATAGACGGGCGAGCCAGCCCTCGGCCACGCTGTCTGGACAGGAGGTCACACCTTTGCTCTCTTTCCAGGCTTCGCTGCATCACCACATTTCGGTAGCACAGACGGATGAACTTCTCCCTGCCAGGAATTCGCAGCGGGTTCCCCACCCTCTGGACTCCAAAACCACATCTGATGTTTTAAGGTAGAATCAGACATGCATCCCTGGGGAGCAGTCTGAGCATGTATTGCACCCAGGGGCCACCAGTCCCGTCCTCGCGAGGGCTCTGTGGGGTCCTAATCCTCCCTAACACAGTTTATATAAATAACGTTACCACAGGGTAAATGCTGCCAAGGGGAAGTATCTCCCAGAGGTGTGTTTCATCATTCACCTATTCACCTTAAACTTCAGCAGGCCCGGACATTCTTTATATAGGAGAAAAATAGATGTGCCTTTTATAATTATTAAGTGGTTAGGAAATGATAGGTAAGTGGGAACCTGAGTAACATTGTCCAGCAGAGATAGCAAGTGAGCCTCTTCAAACCCAACGGTCTTTTTTTTTTTTTCCTAATTAGACAT